CATAATTTGTTTATTTATGCAATTTATTTTTGTTCGTATAAAAGTACAAATTTGATTAAATGCTTTAGAAAAATGTATGACAGTAAATTAATCTATCTACTCTATTTGATTTAACGAACATTTTTTGTGTTCTAATAAAATAAAAATTAAAAGAAAAGTAAAACTTCTATTTTTGATCGTTTTCTAAATCACTGTTGAATAATAAGTTTATAAAATGAATAAAAATTTATACAAAAAACTCAGTAAGAAAAAAAAATGTCTCAAGTTATATAAATGCAATCATGTAACATTGTATTATAAAGGATAACTCGATTAGCTCAAATAATAAATAATAATATATTATTTTTATTTGTATTTATACACGAGTGTCCAACATATGTGGATGCCATGAATTAGCATGATTAATCTAAAATAAATTTTAAGAAATAAATTCTTTCATTTTAATTTTTATAATAAAAAAATTCATACAGCATGAAATGCATCTATTGTAGTCTGTCGTCGGGATTGTATATGTGGATTTTGAATACTTTCTTGTAGATAATTAATTTCCAATGATAATTGTTGTTCACGTGATATTGACGTCCTATTTTGATCATATCGACAATAACAATTTGACCATAAAATTATATTAAATATACGCCAATCAACATAAAGATCTGAATGAAATTTTTGTGGCGATTCAATAAGATCATATTCATATTGTTCACCATTAATTGGTAATAATTCATGTGTTGATGATGAAATATCAAGTATAAAATGAATTGTTTTTGGTGATTCTAAGCGATAAGTCGTTCGATTTGTTGGTTGTCGAAAAGATGTATTTTGTTTTGGTGATAAATATCTTTTTGTTTGATTTGTTGTTTGTTGATGAGAATGAGATAATTTTTGTGAAGAAAATATAGATGTATAATTTATTAATAAATGATATGTATGTGGATAAAGATAAAGTGAAAAATCAAATGATGATAAAAATAAAATATTTCTTGGACAATTTTGTATTGCATAACGACGTTCAAGAACTGAATTAAAAACAAATGTATGATGATAACAATAACAAATACTATGATAAAGTTCAATTAAAAAATATTCAGTAAATTCAAATGAAAATGAATTTTGATTAATTAATTGATGAACACAATCAAGAAAGAGAAGAAAAACTGGTGACTAAAATAAATAAAATAAAATTCAATAAGAATTTATTAACAAAACAAAAAACACAAACAAACTTCTTGTGCATTATTTCCGTTTGTATCAAAAAGAACTTGTCCAAAACGTTCACGAAATGGATGACCACGAATAAGCCATTCACGAACAATTAATTCACAAAAACCTTTGATTGTACGACATTTAGGTCGAAGAAATATTTGAATTAATGATGACATTAAACAATTATTATCTATATCACTTCCTATTTTAAAAAGAAATAAATTTAAAATAATTCATTAAGAATTTATTATTTTTCTTGAATTGAAGAATAGTTTTTCTATCACTAATTAAAAATACAAAATATAATGAACGTGAATGTTTTTTGTAATAGCTTTCGATAAAATCGACTTAGAGACTTGAAGTTTTTCCCATTCATGAGAGAACATCCGGGATCATCAACGTAAGTTCAGATTTGATGGGTCAGCATTTGACCAATCAAAGGACTTCTTGGCGAAAATATTGAAAACGAGATTCTGAACTCTTTCGCTCTATACAAACTTCAATTTTATAACTGCCTCCGTCCAAGAGTTACAAGGCTTTTCCTAAGACTCTCTGTTTCAGCAATTTGACCATAGAAGACTTCAAAAGAGCTCTAGACATGGCTTATTCATCATGCTGAGTCGAGCAGTGATGCTTATTTTTAGTTTTAAAGTGACCTGAAAGGCCATGATTTCAAGATTTTCAATACTTGCATTTGTTATGTTGTTTAGAGCAAAGTTTTGAAATTTCATAAATACTAAAATAGTGGTTTCACACTGCTTTGAAATTGAAAATAAACATTACCATTCGACTTAGCTTGATGAATAATCTCTGTTTGGAACCCTTTTAGAGTCTTCCAAGGTTAAATTGCTGAAATCGGAAATCTTAGAAAAAGCTTTGTAACTCTTGAACGGAAATAGCTGTGAAATTGGTGTTTGTGTAGATTGAAAGAGAAGATTTTTTTCTACTGATTGGTTATATGATACTGTTTCTTTTCCATGTTTGAATCTGATAAAAATCATCATAACTTCTTTTTTTTTTCATGATGATAAATCAAACTACTTAAACTAAATATCTTTCTCAGACTTCATTCAAGAAGATTTTACTTCTACCATATGAATGATAAGAAAACTTAAATAAAAATATCTATTTTTGAAAATATTCAAATAAAATATTTCCATACCGACTAATGCAATATTTGTATAATTAAGTAATTTAGCTAATGATGCAGCACCATGTAAAGTTTTTGAAACATATTTAAGCCATTTACATGCATTTAATTTACTCAACCATTTATTATCATCATCATCGTCTACAAAGCAAAATTTATTGATTAAAAAAAACAGATCATAATTAATAAAAATTTCTTTCTTTTATTCCTTACCAGAAGTTATGACACATATTTCAATTAATTTTTCATAACTAGTTTGTAAACGTTTTAAATTACATGGAAATTTTGATAGATTATAACGTTGAAATGATTGTTCATATACTTGATGAGAAGAATAAATTAAATTCGTATCAGTTGCATTACGACGTAAACTAAAATATAAATTCTTTAAAAATCAAAGCAAATAATATTTGTTTATATAATCAATGATCACTTTTTGTATGTCATCTTCTCATCATCTAATAACACGTTTTGTAAAGAAAAGTTTTGTTGCAAGGACTAAATTCTATTCGATCAATTTTCGATGCTACGAACACGATTATTAATTCATACGCAGTGAATATTTCAGTGATTAAAGAATCATAATTGTTAATTTTATTCTATTACGTATCATTGACAATGGCGTCCGATAAATAATAATTCAAGATGTTGAGATCAGAATTTACTTGTTGACTATCTGTGTGTATCTACGAAATGTATGATATACTCTATGTACCACATCAATGTTTTCTGATGTGTACAAGATATTGTGTTGTTTTATTGATCGACGAAATTATCGACCAGCAGTAGAACCCGTGGGACCCAATATTTTTGGACTTAATCAATCCATACTTTCAGATAATCTTAATAAAATTGGATAATCACTCCGAACATACGATATAGGATGTAGGCCGAAAGTTTCTAGACAATTTAAATGCATTGTAAAACAGTGGGCTCTTACAGAATGTATGTGACTCTTGAAAAGACTCAAATGAAACTTGTTTCAGGCATATTACAATATTTTATCGAATATATTGGAAGATACAAAAAATAACGATATATTTGAATAAATTTTTTTTGCAAACTGTTGAAATAGAGTAATAGCTTTTATAAAATCTATCTCAACAAAAATAACTATTTTTCTGATTTTCGTCTTAATGCAAAATGACTTTCCGTCATAATTCTGCTATTTTTTTTTAGCGGATTAACTAAAACTTTCCATTCTTGCATTATTTTGTAGAGTCGAGATTACCCTTAAGTATTACATATTTACAAAACTTATTTAATGTAAACTTGTCTTCAAAAAAAAAATTAGATTTTTGCCTCCTCCAGAAAATGTTTTTTGAGTTCTCTCGACATTTTACAGCTCAATAGACTAACTAGAAACTTTCGGTTCACTCCTTAATTTTTTCCGATTTTTTTGTTTTTGATGACTAGCGCACCTTACAGATTTCTCAGATGATTAGACCCAATGAGTTCTAACCAACAGTCATTTATCTTCAGATTTGGCATATCAAATAACAACTTCAATATAATTTTCATGTAATAATGTTTCACCAGATACGAATATAATTGGAACCGTAAGACCACTTTGATAAGCACCTAATCATGCTCATAATGTTTTTCATTTGAATATTTTGCATTAGTGAATAGAATTTTCTTCAATCGACGTGATGAAAAAAGTAAGTTGATCGTTTGCCACAAAAAAAAACAATCATGTTCGTAGTATCGAAAATTAGTCGAATAGAATTTTTTATAAAACAAAGTTTTCGTCGGTACATAGTCATGAAAATATGACATGTCAAAAGTGCTCATTTTTTTTATTATAATCCATCACCAATACAAAAAGCAACGAATACACATACATATACATGCAATATTTAGAATATAGCAATGGTTACCGAGCATCTTTATGTATCTCACCCAAAATTGGGCGATTTTGGTGGTACCATCAATAATCTACTACTTGCTATTTTAAGTTCATTGGTACATACCATTGGTGGATCATTATTAGGATTTGAACGTAAATTTTTCGGTAATCTTTTTGATAGATTTAAAAAACGAGATGATGATGGTGATGATGCTTTCGGTAAACTTATTGGAAATTCAACACTGTTGAAAATTAAATAAAAAATTTTCGTTTTTTTTTTCTTCCTCACAGTAAATGCTTTACATTAAAAACAAATGTAACTACTATCAATATCAACTTACGGATCTCCAACTGTAAAAATATCTCCTATGCCTGGCATAGTAACAAGCATATATTGTATTGGACTTGTATTGTGTTGATGATGACGATTAATTTCAGCTTCAGATGTATGAGTCCAATGCCAAATCTATTTGTGTTTTTTTTTTGTAAAAATAAAATAGATAAAAACAAACAAACGAAAAGTAAATCTTACTAAATCACTACAATCATCATTTTCATTGACATTTCTTAAACGAACAAATGGACCTTCTCTAGCATATTAGAAAACTAAGTGAATGAGAAAATTAAAAAATTTTTCAATTTCATACTGGTTTACAATATTTCCTTCATCAAATTTTGTTAAATCAACAATCCATTGTAATTCATTAGCATCTTTCAATTCATCATGCCAATCTTGGTAAGTCATATAACCTTTAATACGTGCATCATTACTTATACAAAAATCTAAAATAAGATAAAGACAGAAAAAACGAAAAAAACAAAGACAAGTTTTATATAATTATAAAAATTCTTTACCAGCAGTATCATCATCACCTGATCGTCCACTAGATGTAGATATTAATGGTGGTATTTGATAACTGTGTTGAAGTCTAGGAGATAGATTATTCATTGATGTTTGTTGCATAGCAAGATATGGATATAATTGTCCTTTATTTTGAAAACGACAATGAACTTTTAATGCCTCGATATACTATAACAAAAAAAAAAAGAGAAAAGAATAAGATAGATTAAAATATTTAAAAATCTAATATAAAATTTTTACAGTTTCCATTTTTGATATACATATGTCTTGTTTATTATTCATTGAATTCGATTTTGTAACTGAACATTTTGAGAATGTTATATTTCGAAAATCCTTTTAAATTAAAATAGAAATAATTAAATAACGTTAGGATAAAAAAAAAAGAAAATTTTTATATACTCGAGTTATAATTGTAAATGCTCTTGTTTCTGATTGAATTTGATTTTCATTTAAAAATGATTTAAATCCTGATCGAGAATTAACCGCTTTAAAAGAAAAATAAAATTATTAACAGACTCATATTAAATATACATATATTATATACTTACGAGCAACATCTACTTTACAGATGGACGTTAATGGAATGTCATATTCACCAATATATTTATTTTCAGAGAAAATCTAAAAATAAAAAGACATTGAGTATTAAATTAATCATGTTATTGTAAATGGTAAGTATCTTTATAGAAATGAACAAATCAATGATGAAAAATTTTATAACTAAAGTAACTGACATGTAGAATTCACCTGATTGGTTCGGATCTGAATGTTTTGAATCCGACGGATTCTCCTGGTATATCAAAAGGTGACTTATTCCATATGTTTATAAAATATTCATTCTCTTGATCGATGCTATTGAAGTTAGAACCCTTTAGACAGATTGAAAAAAAAAGCAAAATTTATTTGATAAAGCTTTCACTGGTCTTAATCGAATGTTTGAGATAATTTAGCAAGTAGTTCTATGCATATTGAATAAGTGTGTGTTTTTCGCCTTATACAGAATAATCAATAGAAAATGCATAGTTTCTCCTTTCATCCATTCATATACGATGGAAATATCCTAGGAGAATTTTGAAGTTATGTTTTATAGAAAACGTGAAACATATAGATACTTAAAATTCGAAAAAAATTATCTCTTTTTATTCATTAAGAAATCGTCGTTTATTATCAATCTAAAATCTTATATCGCAATCTAACAATACTACTCAATGTCTATGATTTTTTTATTTTTGATGCTATTCATAATAGTTTTTATCAGATACATCTCTAACAAAACCGACATAGATTTCTACTCTCCGACTAACGAGAGAACATTTTCAACTAATCAATTGTTTTCTCTCCGAAAACTAATGAATTTCAAGTTATCGACCATCTTCATACACTGATTTTCTAGAAAACTAGTTTTCCGAACTAACAAACTTTTTGCCGAAAATTGTTTTTACTCTCGTCACATACGGAAAGCAATCGAAAATAAAGGATAAATCAACATCTATAAAATCACTAGAATTATACTTACAAGATTATTATTTGCTATTTCATTATCTGGTGAAAATACAAGTCGAAATACTGTCATATATAAAGTTCCACATAAACGTTCACAACCATTTTCTATATATTCAACATTTCGTACATGTATATTCAATGGAATTTCTTCTAAATAAACGAAAATTTCAATTTTTTTGTATTCTAACTTTTAAAAACAATTAAAATACAAACGTGGTAATAATTTTCGAACAATTTTTGTTAACTAAATGACAAAAAAAAACAAAAATATATATGATAGATAATATTTATAAAATCATTTATTTACTTCTGGTAAAACATTTGGTAATGATTCTTTTCGTCGTGGTGTATCAATATTAGGATTATTAGAATTAAATCGAGATTGTTGATATCGACCAGCACTAACCGATCGAATACCGGCAATATTTCGACGAAATGACATTTTATTTTTCAAAATTTAATTTATAGCCATTTCGAACTTAGAAATAAGGTTTCTAATAGAAATCTACAACTAAATACAAATATAATTCTCGTTTTCATTTGGTATAAAATTCATGATATATTCCTTCCTGAAATAATATTATTTTCTATCCTGTATCTTGAAGTATCATGTCGGTTGGTCACGCCCATATATTCCTGCGCAATAAATCTGACTAAGCTTAATAAATACTTATCTAAATTAATTGTGACTATCATGTGTATCTAATAAAGAAAAGAAAAGAATAATAAGAAAATAATTATGATTGTTCTTGTCGTTTGTGCATATGATTACATTCGTCATACAATCATCAAGTTGATTTGGTTAAAATTTTTGATTTAATAGACCGGAAAAGAGGACCCTTCCACTGAATAGGTACTACCCTTGCCCAGACAAAGAGGTCTTTGTATGTAATACAACGAACATAAATATGAAAATGATGTCTATAATGCAGAACTAACGCTTGAATTTCTTAATATTGAAAATATCCCATAGGAGTTCAATGAATGATGTCGATGAATCATTACTTGACAGTAGCTTATTAGCTATTTTATTAACCAATACAATTCAACATAGACTCCTCTGTAACGAACAGTTAATTATCAGAAATATTCATATGATATAAAAAATTAAAATATATAAAATATTTCGGTTTTTGTGTATATATAAACAATTATTTTTATTTTAATAGCATTTCATTTATTAAAAACACAATATATTTGCTCATAAGTGAGTTGTACTAATTGTACTTTCGTTCAGTAGTACACGTATTGTGAAAATTAAATATTTTGTTTTACGAATACAAAAAAAAAATAAATAAAACAATGTCTATATCACCACCACCGTTTAGTCCACCACGATTTACATCAAATGAAGAAGATAATAATGATAATATCAATGATGATGATGATGATGATGAATATATTGATTCAGCTCGTACATTAATATCATCATTTGATTTATATAAAAATGCTATTGATCGTTTACGTTTATCAGTTACAAGTCAATCAATTGAACAACAACAAGATTCACTTGAACATTTTAAACCATTATCAACACGAACTAATGCATGGTTATATATGCGTATACATGATGATTTATTTACTATCCTATTAGATTATTTATTAATTGAAAATTTATCTATACAATCAACAGTTCTCAGTATATTTGCTAATATTGCTTGTGAACTAGCATCACACGAACAGGTATATTAGTTAGAAAAAAAAATGTTTTTCATTGTAAAAAAAAATTTTTCGATTAATTTTCATCATACTTACGAAAATTAATGAGTCTTTTATTGAAATTACAGTCGATGTGTTTTAGTGATTTTAATTAACATGATTTCTATAACTCAAAACAAACATTCTTCAGAAGTTAAGATTAAACTAGATCTATATTTATCTAACTGAATATTTTTCCTATTTATGTAAATACTAGATCAATTAAGAAAAGTTCATTTTTTGTTTTTTTCGTTCGATGTTTAAATTCTATCGAATACTGAACTAAAGATCAACCTAGATTAAATAGTCTAATACATTTGATCATATATTAGAGAAGGATAGATTTCGTCTATGAACATTAAAGAATAAAATATTAATTTCATTCTATTACAAAATCAATAGGAATTCTCTCTAATATGAATGAAAATAAAATTAAAATTTCAAATAAATTTTATTTCGATTGATTATATATTTAATTGTATATCATAGATCTTCGAAACTAATTTAATCGATATAGTTTGTGGAAAAGTAGTTGATATAAATCAAATAGATATAACAAATCGATGTTTTCGATTATTAGGTAATGTATGTACTGTTGAAGATGCTGCACGAAAAATGATCGAAGCCGGTATGATTTTAAATTTGATTTATATTGATTTATTTTTTTTTGTTCAAATATTAAATTTTCTAGATTTAACACGATCTATGGGAAATGTCTTACGAACTTGTACAGATGCAGCATGTTTACATTCAACAATTCGATGTTCAAGGTAAATTTTATTTCAAAAATACAAAACAAAACAAATAAATATTATTGATTTTTCTTTTGTATATATTAGAAAATTAAGTACATATGCATTTTGTCGTGATCGAATGCTTGATTCAATGTGTTTATTATCTATATGTAAACAATTATTTGCTGAAAAAGTTGCTTTACGTAAAGAAGCAATGAAAGCTGTATTAGAATGGGATATTGATAGTTCAGATAGAAGTCGTTCACAAGTAATTATAATAAAAAAACTTATCTCTCTTGTTATATTGTATACAATAAAAAAAAAAAAAATCATTTCTTTTAATTTAGTTATGTGAAGGGGAAATATTTCGTTTTTTAATAACAACAATGGAAGGCAAATCTGATAAAGAATATCGTCATATAGCATTTCGTCTTTTAAATAATTTATTACGTTATAGTGATATGCGTACTGAATTTGGTTTACGTAATGGTTTAGATTTTTTATTAAATATGATACATAATCATCAATATCAATCAACATATGAACATTTAAAATGTATTGGTTTATTTTGTGTTTGTTGTCAAGAAACAAATAATCGTCGTTTAATTAAAGATGATATGAAAAAATTAGAAATATTTTTTAATTATTTAGAAAAATATCAATATCGTTCGAATTTTTTGGATCTTTTATTAACAGCTATTTGTCAATTTATATATGATGAACAATCATTAATTATATTTGTTAAACAAATGCAATTTATTGAACGAATGTGTGATTTATTAGAATCAGTTGTTATGATTAAATATGAAAATAATGAAAAACGTTTATTAGGTGATGATGAACAAGATTCAAATAAAATAAAAAAACAAAAAACAAAACATACGGTATAAAGCAAAAAAAATAAAATATCATATTATTTAAGTCATTGTTTTTTTTTTGGCTGAAAAATTCGAAAATTGTTTTCCTCATCAACTGATATTTAAAATATTTTTTCTACTAAGAATCTTTTGTTTATATATATAATAGAAAAATCAAGGTCCGCATAGAATTTTTCAATTAAAATATTAGAGTACAATCGATCTGTCTCGAAAGTTATCTGATCAAGGTTAAAATTTTTTTTTCAAGATTCTCTAGAATATATAGTGGCGGACAAAACTTCAATAAAATAGTTTAGATGAAAATGTCTGGAAAGCCAAGACCCCCAAAACCAGTTTTTTGTTATCGATTTGAAGCTTTTGGGGAAAGATTTTTTTTTTTTTGATAGAGAAAAATTAGATGTCTCGGATCTCTTCATAGAACTGCGTTCAATTTAGAGAAGATCTCAAAGTGTCAAAGACGGCAAAATTTTTCATAAAAACAAAAGAAAAATATTTCTTAGGTCTTTTGTAAATGAAATGCAGGAAGACAAGACATCTCATTTTACTCTATCAAATAAAACCATTTCAAAAAAAATCTTCAAATCGATGTCAGAAAAATGATTTTCCAGATATCTTCATCAAGGCAGCTTTATAGGAATTTTTAGAGTCGCCAATCCTGGTAGCGAAATCGTTTTTGACTACTCAAGTATTTTTTTCCGAGTCTTCCTAGCTATTACCATCGAGAAGAAAACTCAAAAATACAACCGCTCTCAACTTAAGTCCGTCAGTATATCTCATGAAGGAAGTCCTCCAACTGATAAATCGCTTTTGAGAAGATCTGTGTGAAATTCGAAAATGATTTTTTTTGCATTACGACAACATTCATTTAAACAATACTGTAAAAGTGCAGTTTCTCCATAACAATATGCCAAAGACGCGAATTCTGTTCAGGATATCCATAGTTCATATGGATCACATAGTCTTGACTCAAAAGCAGTTTATCAATTGAAGAGCTACTCTCGTCGGAAGTGATTTTACACTTTTTCAAATATCTCGCTTTCGTTGTTGTATGAGATATTTTCAAATCATTATTCTTTATCATAATAAAGAAAGATGAATATGTAATCTATTCATTCTTAATTTTATAGACTGACACTCGACAACAGCAACAACGTATACCTGTAACAATAGAATTTAATGAAAGTTTATTTACTGAATTTGTTGAAAATACTCATTTGGATGATGAACGTCATACATCAGCATTATCATCATCATCAAGTCAAATTGCTTCAAAAAATACAAATATAGAAATTCGTCGTCGTACTGAAGGATTAATATTTACATTATTATCAAAATTATCATATGAAACAACTGATAAAAATTTAAGACGTTTTTTATATAATCGTCGTCTTGTTTCATTACTTATTCGATATATTTATTTATGTGATGAACCAAATCCACGTGCTATAAGAATTCTTAATCGTTTAACAAAAATGATTGATTGTACAGAATATTTAATTGAACTTGGTTTACCATATTTAATAATTATAAATTTTTATTCAAATATTTATTTATATGAATATAATTATAATATAAATAATGATGATCAATATTTATTAAATATTCTTCTTAATGATAATCGAGCTTTTTTTCAACGTTTATCATGGACAAATGAAGAAAATCGTTTAAAAACTATTGGATATACATTAATAAAAAATATTGAAAATCATATTAATACACCATATGGAATAAATGAAATTATACGACGATTAAATGATACAAATATTGATGAAAAATTTCATTTTATGTTAACATTAATTGCAACTTTAAAGTAATGACAAATAAAAAAGAAAGAAATAAAATTTTTATGTATAATACATAAAAAAATTGTTTTTTTCTTTTTTTTTTTTTTTAGAGAACATCATTTAATGTCAATTCTATTTCAACAAAGTTCAGGTTATAATTATTTAATTGATCAATCAAATGATGAACGTGCTTGTTTTTGGACTTTTCGTACACTTGTTCATCGATGTATTTCTTCAACTAATCGTACATATATCAATGAATTGTAAGGAAATCTTTTTAAACTATTAGTAAACTTTTTAAAGAATGAAAATAACTCTTTGGCATAAGCGTATAGAACTTTTCAGTAAAAAAAGAAACCAACAGCTAAGTATACTGATTGTAAGACATGTATATAACATATTTCACTCGTGCAACAAACAAACTTGGTCTCGCACATTTTCCCATGAAGATATTGATAAAATACTGAGATGCTCATTTATTCTAGGACACCCGTTCGATGTACAGATCTTGTCTATGTGTCACGATGCTGACTGCTTTTAGTACTATTGTCCATTTCAAAATAAAAGGCGCGTGGGTATTTTTTGAATAACTTTTGATAGGAGCATGGTGGAGAGTTGCGGTTTTCACCAATGGAAAGAGGAGATGGAGACGCATCGAATTGTATATTCTAATATAATTTGGCATAGTTTTTTCAAAGACTTAAAGCGAACATATTTCGTAAGGTGACTAAAGTAATTTTTCAATAATTTCGTGTGGATTTGAACCGCTAACAGAAGATTTACAAGCTATACGCAAGAGCGAGACTTTTAGATTGATTCGTTCAGTAGTTATAAATGTCTTAGTGAAAATTCTTAGCCGATTTTTTCGTTAATTCATGTGAAAAAATCACTTTTTTGTGTTTTTATCATAAAATAGAAATTCAATTTTTCGGCATTAAGAAAACTTTAAAGAGCCTCCGAGAAAAACCTGTATTATATGATTCGATGCGTCTTTATCTCCTCTTTCCAATGGTGAAAACCACAGTTCTCTATCTTACCCCTATGAAAAGTTATTCAAAAAATAGCCACTCGCCTTTTATTTTGACATGGGCAATAGAAACAAAAAACAGTAGTAGTTTCTATATCATAAGGACTTGGCGCTTGAGGTTGGGATTTTTTGTCGTATACATGCACTTAAAATATCAGTTCAATATAACAAAAAATAATAGCACTTTCTGAGGCGCGGCTACTTTTCTCCAACGCACTGTGTTTTTACTGATATAATAAAAATATTATGATGATAAAATTGATAGGAAAGACTTTGAAGAAATACGATAGTTTGTTCTTTGATTGTATTTTTGTTTGTTTTTTAGTCTCAATGAATTACAAACACATTTTCAAACTCCAACAATAACTCAAACGAGAAATATTGAATTAAATATCAATAATAAACAATTAATTACTGTTAATACTTATCTATTATGTTTACATTCAGATTATTTTAAAACATTATTTCATGGTTCATTTTCTGAACGTAATCAAACAGTAATTCCAATTCATTTACCTGAAACAATGTCAATTGAATCATTTGTACATCTAATTAATTTATTAACAAATAATAATGAAATAATACAATTAAATCATATAATAGATTTATTTCATTTATGTGATAAATATTTATTTGATTATTTACCATATCGATTAGTTTATTATATTCTTGAACAATTTATAAATGGAATAACAATTGATATAATTGATATTGAATCAAAACCAAAATTAATATCATGTCTTATTCGTGCATTTTTTACTCATTTATTAACAAGTAATATAAATATTTCAAGTGAAATATTTTCAAAATTACTTATAAATTATTCAGATGAATTTCGAACATTAATTATTTCATTTTTAAAACATAAATGTTGGTTTCACGATGAATATTCGCCGTTTTTATCGTGAATGTAAATTTTCTTTTTTGTTTTTCATCTCTGTAACTAGTTGATTGATTTATATTCTATATAACGATATGATGGGAATGGTTGTTTCTTTTGTTTGTTTGCTTTTTTTATTTAGTAAATGCAAAATAAACTTATTTGAAAAGATAAGCAAGATGAAAAGTTGCTTTTCTTGAACAATGAATGAAGAATAATCGAAACGCATGTAATAAGTTTATTCATGTATGTAGGATCTTTGTAATGTCTCGCATTGGTTTGTCTTACTTCTTTTTGTTTTAACGAAAAATTTTCTATTCTGTGTTTATCATATTTGTTTTCTGATCGATCATAAAATCGTTGAAGATAAAATTTGTTGTCTTATTTTAAAAACATTTTGTTGTCGTGTTATGTCAAATTTGAGTTTAAAATAAATAAGGCAGTTATTAGAAAATAAAAAACCATAATTTCCTATCATTAGAAATAATGCTCATTAACGAATAATGCAACCAATTGTCATCTATATGATTTCAAAATAACGTTTTTTTTTTTAATATTTTAAATTATTTTAATCAAAATCATTGACCTATTTATGATAGTAGTCGGTAAAGTCTAGAGTCCGTCAAATTGATGCCGAACCTGGTGGAATTCGGCCTCGGGACTGAACCAACGGGTCATAGCCTAAACTTAACAGCCAACTAGAACTTGATTATTATAGGATCGTCATCAAGATTGTCTGAGGTGTATTAGTAGCAGGTTATATACAAATAATGTATAAAAAGTATCTTGCAACTTCAGAACGATTATCAAACTCACGAGGGAAGTTCTTCAGCTGATAAATCACATTGGAATCGAAACTATGCTTGATATTCATTTAAAAAAATACTGTAAAAGTGCAGTATACCCACAGCGATAAGCCAAGAGCATGAACTCTTTTCAGAGTATTCATAGTTCATTTGGATCATATAGTCTCGATTCAAAAGCGATTTATCAGTTGGAGGACTTCCTTTGTCAAACTAGAAAAATTTGATGGAAATCAAAAGTACGATGCGTGTTCGGATCCAAAAAAATTTAATCAATTGAATTCGAGTTAAAAAAAACCGGAACCCGACGGTCTCTATCTAACATAGTCTTATGATGTGCGATGTTTGACGTCCCATGTCGTCAAAGTTGGCTCAATTTTAACGATTAATTATGATTGACCAGCGGTATTGTAACAAACTTCAATAGTAAGCATTTATTTACAAAAAATTACTATTCTCCCTTCTATTTAGACTACTATCAATAGCAATATGAACTGGAGCACTGTACGAAGTTAATTTCGAAGTAAACAAAATTATTGACGAAAATTCAATTTTAACATCTGAACTTTTTTGAATAGTAGGTTGATTTGTTGTACAAACTGATCTATTTTGAAGGTTTCAATAATGTCTAAGAGGCATTCGGAGACGAAACAAAATCACAATCAAATTCAAACTTCGATTTTTTTTTCGACTCCAACTTTCTTTCATGTACATAGATCTTGATAAGTCATTGTTGGAACTTCCGAAATGCATCAGTTTGTACAGTAAATATTAGAGAATAAAATCTACTATTCAAAGAAAAGTTCATATATTAAAAATGAATTTTGGCAAAAAAATTTGTTGACTCCATGCACAGCTCTAACATGAACAGTAGGTATTTATAGATAAAAATTATAAAATTTTTCTTTTATTTAAATAAATCTTGATATTAAAATAAAGGGCAAGTATTTATTTAGAGCAATCTCGAAACCAAAATAAATATTAAGTATTATTGTATATAAAAAAAACTCATTTATTTTATTATTTATGACATATAGAAAAAAAGGAATCATTGCTCTTAGCATTCATGAGAAACTTTTATGGATACAATGATAAAAGACAGATGTATATCCATCAAGATATAGTATATGTCGCATAGAAAATCACGATTTTCTGTAAAATATCAGCAAAAAAAGCGAGAAAAATCGCTCTAACAAATCGTGATAAAATCGTTGATTTTGATCACATGGAATATATCATAATCCTAAAACAAGATGGTATATGAGTACTTTCGATAGAACCATAAATAATAATTGATCGATTGTAGACACTAATCACTGTTCATATTACACGATAATGCTATGATTTTTCGATTTATATTCACTTCTACACAGATCGAGTCACAACGTTATACTATGTATATATATATATTGATGATTCTTAATTTGAGAATTGTGTATTAGTTTTTAAGAAAATTCTATAGATCTATTTAATTGTTCAATGAGAAGAAAATGACCTGAATGTGTTTATTTAAATAAATGTAGTATTTCCAATAAAAAAAAAAGACGAATGATATTACTACATATACAATCGTAAGTTTATAAATTAAATTTTCTTTCGTGAACTTTTAACTGGTGCAATTGGTTTTTCTTCCTCTTCTTCTTCAGACTCGTCTTCGTCTTCTTCTTCATCATCATCTTCTTCTTCTTCGTTATCATCATCATTATCACTCTTATGTTTTTCATTTTTATCAGTTGTTATATTATTTTTTGATGTTGTTGTAGCAGATGTAGTTGTTTCACTTTTTGATGATGAATGAGTTTTTTGAACTGATTTTGATGATGGAGCTGCTTCACCAGATTTTTCATATTCTTTTAATTCATTTTCATATCGAATTTTTTCTCGTTCATGTTCTTTTTCATAATGAGCCTAAAAAATATATTAATATAAATATAATATATGTAAATATATATATACTGACTTTTGTTTTTGAATCAGCTTGTTTCCATGCAGCACCTAATGCTTTACTCATTTCAATAAAATTATCTAAACCTGATGCTTTTAATTTTGGTCGTTCATCAGCTGAAAATAACATATAAGCAGATAATGGTTTTCTTGGAGCATTTGAATCTTTTGTTTGTTTTGCTGGCATTCTTATTTAAATAATATTATTTAAGAAAAAAAATGTAAATATCGAGAAGAAAAAAAAAGAAGATTAGTTGAATGTAAGTGTTACTTTTTACTTTATAAGAAGATGAATGAATATGTCGATAAGAATGTTTCCTTTCTTAAATAGACGAGATAAATTCTATCATTTCGACGTCCATAGAAATAGTGAATGTTTTTCTGTATGTATCACAGATAAAATAGATATCGATTAAAATTTATCGAAAAGAAAAATAATGTTTTGACTATAAATTTCTTCTCTTTAGTTTTAATCCCCTTGTGAAAAAGAAAAGAATGTATAAAATGAATCATCATTTACAAAATGAAGTGTAATTTTGAATTATTATCAACATAAAAACAACAATATTTTCTGAATAACTTTCGATAGGAATATCATAAAAACCTGCGATTTTCACTATTCAAGAGAGAAGAAGAAGACTCGTGGTCATTGAAATTTGATTGGTCAGCAATTGACCAATCAGGTGAATTCTTGATGGGGATATTCGAAAACAATGTTCTGAACATATCTCCGTTCTAGTTTAGATTCTTAATAGGACTAGTCAATAAAAAAAAAACTCTTCTCTACGTAAAACCGATATTCCTATCTAGTTTCATTCAAGAGTTATAAGACTTCGACTGTGATCATCTGGAAAAGCAGCTAGACAGAGGTAATTCGCCATGCTGATTTGAATGGTGATATTTGTTCTAATGGTGTCATCTCAATATTTCTGAAATGTCTTATAACTTTTGAATGGAACTAGCTAGATATGGTAGTCTTGTGTAGATTGAAAGAGAAGAACTTTTTCTATCGATTGGTCATGCCATGAGTCTAAATCGAAAGGGAGATAACTTGAGAATATCGTTTTCGGAAATCTCTACTAAGAACTCACCTGATTAGTAAATTGCTGATCAATCAAATTTCGATGACCACAAGCCTTCGCTCTTGAAGTCTCTATGATGTTCCTATTGAAAGTTATTCAAAACACATTGACGTGTCTCATATTCTGATGTCGATAATACTGTAAAAATAAATCAATTTTCAATTAAATTTATTTGGTAGAACTAAATGGTAGCAATAAGTCTTGTATCAGTTGTTATTTATTTTCTCTTCGTTTCAAATACTGAAGTAAGGCATACATACAAGCATTGATAGAAAAAAAACAGATGTGTACTTGTCAAAACAGTTCAATAATTTTTTTTTTCAGTATATTTATAATGTCATACAGATATTCTTTATCATTGTATTAGTGATATTTTCAGAACGATCAATCTGATTTATGAACGATATATTCGAAGCCAATAAATTGCATTCAAAAATTCAAAATGTCTAATCAAACATTCATCGGAAGTCTGTTTGACATTGATTATGAATTATAATAAATATTCTTTTTCTTGCTATTTATAGGTATTATCAATGTTGACAGTGCAATTTTTTACACCTGATTATTAATGATAATTGTCTATTACATTACTATTCTAGGACTATTCCGCAACTAGAATACTAAATAAACGTTCATTGCCATTAATAATTACAAAAAGATTATATTGAATTTTAAACCATCATCGACACAATATATGATTAAATCTATTTATGAGGAATCAAGTTAGTTATCGTTTATTAATCCTTATTTTCTTCAACATGTAAATCGAGTTTGAATGATGTTTCATACTATGAATATAAAGTATTGTTATTGTAAAAGAAATAATTCTATTTATAATGAATTCTTTAAATAGTTTTCATTGATCTTTTTTTTTTTATCTATACTAGATGAAATTTTTGATATATTTGCGATTAAATTTATAGAGAATATTTCATATTGAAATAAGATTTATTTATTTTGATATGTTAATGTAAAAAACAAAAAAAAGAAAGATGATGATTTCTCTATTCATTATGAATAGAACTAATTAAAAATCTTGCTTTTAATGAAAAGAAAATAACTGATATGCAAACATTTAATTCACTTTCGAAACGTGCTTTTTTTATTAATTATATAATAAGAAAGAAAGCAAAAAAAAAGACCTAATCTGATATGTAAAGATTAAAATGTTTATAACATTGGCATTCGTATTAGCTGAACATCATATTAATTTGAACAAAAATAAAATTGCAAAGTCATAGAGTTCGTGTAGTCTAATAGTTAAGACAAGTCGTCTTCATTGCCAAGGTCCAACTTCTATTCTCGGCAAGGATAATTTTTTTTTTTTTGTAATAGAAATGCATGTAATTTCATTTTTAATGAATTAATTTCATCATTTTTTTATTAGTTCTTTTTCTTTTTCTTTTTTTACTCTTTGACAGAAAAAAAGAAAAGAAAAAATTTACTTCAAAACGGTCTATGTTTATAGTTACTTTCTCGGTTGTTTTTTTACTCCAAGATTTTATGTGATTTCTCTATTTAACAAAGATACCGCTCACAATTCATCCTAATTGCAAATTTATTTTTCATTTGGCCTTCGTATGAAAAAAAAAAAAAAAAAGAAAAACTATTGTGACTATGTTATGTCCAATTATGATTTTATCTCAAGGTTAAGAATATTGTGTTAAAATCGTTTATATAAAACAATGCTCCACTTTTTTTTCTCTCCTATTAATAAGAATAGAAACTCTTTTACTAATGTATTTATTCTAATTATATCTTTTCTATAAATATTTTCCAAAAAAGAAAAAGAAAAAATAGAAATAATCAGTATACGATGAATTTCCTGTTGAAATGTTTCAGAATTAATTTTTTCTATAATTATAAAGATAAAATAACATGTTAAGAATTTTAATTGCATAATAAACAATTTTTAGAACATTGATGTAATATATATCTTTGAAGATTTGTCTCAGACACATTCACTTATTAATATTTTAAGTTATTACCTTATATTATATTCTTTGGTATTAACCAGCATGCCATATATATATATATATATATGCATTGCTAATTAGTAGTCGTAAAAAGAAAATGGCATTTTCTAGTCGAGAAAGCGTTTTCTATTTCTATGAGAACGCTATATGTTTATATTGAGGTCATCAATTATGCTATTTTTTAGTTACTATAAAGGTGCAAGATCCACTTTTTCTATCTTGTAGATTTGTGTAGTGAATGAGTAGAAAATAACAATTGATAAAATTCCTAGAATCTTTTTTTTTTTTCTTTTTAATTTTATATTTGTCCTTCCATTCAGATAAGTATTATAGAATATTGACAAATGTTTAATTTTTTTTTGACGTTTTGTTGGTCTTTGTATGATGATCATCAAATTCTAGTAAAGCTCCACCCTATGTTGATGCATTCCCGCCTTTAGGCGATAAGGGAAAAAAGAGAGAGAGAGAGAGAGAAAAGTATGTTTGTGCAACACTGGCTTTATCGCATCATATTCGATCGGCTATCCATCTATTTAACTATCTCTCTAGTGAGAGAGTATGGCATGCTTGTGCGTGCCAATTAGTGCGTCGATCTGTAAACAACATCGAATGTCTTTCTCTCTCTCTCTTTCTGTGTTTCTATCTATCACATCCGGTTAAACCCATCGGCGCCGGTATGAATGCACAAAAGATAAGAGATCAAGTGTCTACATGTGTTTGCCTGTTTTGCTTCTTTGCTCGCACGATACACATTGCACAATTACCTAGCGGAAATCTTGGTAAAGTAGAAAGTCTATCATTGTATAAATCTATATGATAGTTTATCTTTTCATACATTAAGGAGACAGAGAGGAAAAAAAAGGTCAAAAAGCTTTACTTGTTTTTTTTTCTTCTCTTTTTAAGCAAAAAAAAAAGAGAGAGAAAGAGAGATTGATGATGATGGATCATTCTAATTATCAGTCTTAGGTCTCTTCATATGCGTACGTTTTTTTTTTTTATTATTATAAACAAATCGTGATGATTACTTGCTAATCAGGCTGTTCTTCGTTATCTAGGACAAGATAGCTAAAGTGTAGAATCAATATAGATTCTATCATCACTTTCGAGATTAAATCAGTCTAAATCATCACATATCATTATGAATATCAACGCATTTGCTAGAAATTTCTTTTTTTTATAACAATAATTAGTCCGTCTCCATATCATTTATGTTATAACATCATTGAATATGTAAAGTTTTATTTCAAAAAGAAAAAAGAAAGGTAATATCGAAATCGTCTTAAGTATCATGCAATATATTATTTTCTTTCCATCTATTTATATCGTACTTCAAAAAAAAAAACAAATTTTTTCGTTGCATAATTCCGTTTCACATTGTCAACCCATTTGTCTTCCGGTAAAATTATGTTGTGTACCCTCTCACACATGCACACACATCTCCATAAGTAGTCATATAAGTCAAATAAAAAAAACTATGGGAAATAGTAACATACATTTTTTTCCTATTCATTCCAACTCGATTACTTTTTGTTTTTCTTCTTCTTCTTCTTCTTCTTTTTCATATGACAGTAGTTAGTAGCATCTTTCAAACTAAGCAATAAATTTTATTGACTTTTCCATCGTCTTTTTTTCTATCTGTCTTGACATATTGCTCTAAAGGATCCACCTTATAAAGAAAGAGATAAAACATAAGCTAATTGCGTAGTCACAAAAGGGACACATACATTTCTTGCATTGAATATAGTCATAGCAATCTTCTCTTGTTTCTCTTTTCTTTGTTGAATGCATGCGTTTGCCAATCAAATCCCTCTAGTCAAAGGCAAAGAAGAAGAAGAAGAAGAGAAACATAGGAGAAAAAAAAAAATGAGAAATGAGGATCATCTATTTTGATGAAAATGTATGTATGTGTCTGCGTGCGCATTCCTTATTCTTTTACATTCTGAATGCAAGAGATTGCATCATTGTCATGTTATTATCAATGTACAAATTAAGAATCTTATCCAGGTACATAGACACTTAAACCCTGGATGAATTGACGTATATTATTATTATTAGTCATCGATTGCCGCCTCTTCTTTCTTTTTCTCTACGTTCTACTTTTTCAATTTATGCGGCATTTTATGTGCGCATTTGTATGTATATGTGCACGTATGCTTTATATGTAAATTTACTCTGTATATGCACTTGTCGTATTTACTACCAACACCGTTATTGGACTGCTGATGCTTGCCACAGCTTGTTTTTGTCGTTAACGTTATTCGTTCGTTTCGACATCCATCACATTAAATTGCGAAGTGTTAGAAGAATGTCAAGAATAAAAAGGTAACACGAGCGTGCTCTTCTTATTCTCTGTCTCGCTCTCTCTTCCTAACATGACGCCTCGTTTGCAATGAACCAATTCGATGATAAGTTTCGAGTGAAACTAATACGACAATAGCATTATCATTAAGTGAGAACATTAGCACTCTGTTGCTGATAACTGGTTGATCGTTAACTCTCTCGTTTTTTTTTCCTCTTTGCTCGATTGCCCATTCAATTTCCCATTACGACTCGTTCATCGTATTCTCTTATCGGTTAAAAGTAAGTTGAACTAGTCCCCTTTTTTTTCTCTGTATACTACTCCGATTGAAATGTGAGTCGTTGTACTATGTACTCAAAAGTTAAGTCTTATGAGTACAGTTGAATGAAGATAAAGACAAGCATATATATATATATATATTCAAGTTATCTTTCATTTTTTTGACAGAACAAACTGCTGTTCGTTCTTTCAATATGCTTCATTCATTCATTCATTCATACATATAACATATTCGTTATATACGTGAGCTTATTGACAGAAAACCAAATATATGTATATGTATGTACTTAACTATCTTTTTTTCTTTGTATATAATATACAAACTGTCAAACATTAAGCCATACGTGTTGTTTATACATTGTTTTATGATGACAGAAAAGGTTTCGAAGAACGATAAGTTTTTTTTTCCTATTTTGGCTATATGCCAATACATAGTAACATACGGTTTAAATCCAGTTGTTTTTCCAAATTCTTGCTATGAAATGATCGGTATGTGAGTGTGTATCTGATTTATTTCTATTTTATCTTTCTTTGTTCTATAGTAGTGTATATTGCCCAGTGATTTGTATGTATGTGTGTCTCTTCTGCTCTTCATTTATCATCTTCTGAGCATACAGGAAATGTGCGAAAAAAAGATTATATGAAAAGGAAAGCGCGAGGGAGAAAGAGAGAGAGAGAGAAAACATACAGGCAAAGAAAAACGAAGGAGAAAGCAAGTTCTGTAGTAATAATAGCAACAGCAGTACGATGCCACTTTTGACATGTCTCTCGACATTCATACATGCATACACAGTTATTATTAAGGCGGCGTGCATGTATCAGAGCTACTCATCGTGTCAAACTAGCCGTGAATTTGTATGTTGTGCACCAGATGTGACTATTGTTTTTGCCAACGAGCTATCTACTATATATATATATATATATATATATATGTGTATGTATGTATGTATGTATGTGTATGATCCAATCGTATATTCTAATGTTTGTTCATTTTCCTTTCTTTTGCTCTACTAAATAACTCTAGTTTTCTCTTTCCTCCCTATCGTGTACTTGGCGTTTTATGTTATTAGAAATTGGTCTGCTCTCTCTCTCTCTCTCTCTCGTTCGCTTGCTCTATTGTAGTTGTGTGCATGCGTTTGCGTTGTTTTCAAGCATACAAAGGCATCCCGCAGTGGCAATGGCGGCAGCGGTAACGATTACTACTTCGAATGAATATATAAATAGAATGAGAAAGGAGAAAGAGAGAGAGAGAGAGAGAGAGAGAGAAAGAAAAGGTAAAGAAATAGTAGCTTGTGTTGTGAATAGTAAAGTTGTCAAATTGATTTCGTAGATGCACACATGCGCATACAGATATAAAGTTCTTTATTTTCAATCAAGAATACTCAAATAATGTAAGGTGTTAAATATAGTCTGCTGTTTTTTTCTTTTTTTTTTGCAAATTTAGTTTTTAATATATTAAAAAAAAAAGCGAACATAACATATTGAGTTTAATCTTATCTTTGGCCTTTTTTTTGTCTTTCGTAACGAATATGTTTATTTATATTCGAAATAAAATAAAAGCGAAACATAAAATTGTTTTTTTTTTTATCATGGTGAGTTGCGCGCCCCCTCTCGTTGTGATTATTCTTCTTCATCATTTCCCCGTTTACTACTGCCGACCGGCGACAATATGTCGTCGCTCGTCTTCATTGTCCAATCAAGCCAGTTCTGACTCATTCCTTATTTCTGTTTTTTTTATGTTGTTGTTGTTGTTGTTGTTGTCTACATCTCATTTATTTTTTTATTATTTAAGATATAATATAAATAATGTTCATTGACGGCTGATTATTAGTAAACACTCGTCCTCTATTGCATATTTCAATTTGGTCGAGTGTGTTTCATATATATATATATAATATTCATGTATTCAATTGATCGTACATCTCCAGTTCCAATTGATAATCATTCATTAATGTCGAATGAAACTGAAACTGAAATTGAAACATCCACACCTGAATTAAATTTATTATTGGTAAAAAAAAAAGATATTTATTTAAATAATAATAATAATAATCGTAAATTTATTATTTAGGATAAATTAACTGAAATATTACGATTTCGTTCAAGTTGTCGTCGTCATTTCGGTCCACAACAACAACAACAATCAAATCCATCACCAGCAACAAATTTAAAACGTCTTCAATCTGGCAGTATTGAACCATTACACAATAATAATAATAATAATAATAATACAGAAGGTGCATCAACAGGTGCTTGGAAATCATCGACGTCAAACCGTTCATCAAATCATCAACATCATTCAAATAATGATAAAAAGCGTCGTTTGCCAAGTTTATTACAACGTTTAATTGATGAAGGAAATTTAATTAAAGAAGCTGTACGACGTCTTAAATCCCAACGTTTTACACATTCATTTAAACAACAACAACACCAACACCCACAAACACATATTGCAAATACACCATCAACACCAACAACAAAATCATCATCACAAACACTTCCAAATGTTAAATTATCATCAGCAAGTATTAATATACCACAACAAATAAGTGATCCACCAACTCAAACAACATCATCACCAAATCGTGGTATATCATGGTTTTTATCATCAAGTGTATTTGGTACAACAAATCATAGTAGTGGTAGTGGTTCACCATTACGTAATTGTTGTTCATCAAGTACACATGATCGAACACCGATGGAAATTGGTACACATGATGGATAAAATTTTAGACTTATTCATCAGGTGGTTTTTTTGTATGTTAAACGCAATATCTCTTTTTCACTCTCTCTCTCTCTAGTGTTTTCTTTTTTTTTACGTTATTGATTTTTCTTTCCTTCGTTGCTTAACTATTACTTTGAAGTTTGGTTTTTTGTGTCAAGTCCCGCTGAGTGAATACTTCTCACCGGTTTTTGTCTCTCTTCATCATCAATTTTTATTACATGTATAATGTATACATTCCTATTTTGTTGTAAATAACATTGCATACTCCATTGCCATGTTCGTCTTTTCTTCTTTGTTTCTCTCCTCAACTGTTATTACTGTATCTGAATTTTGATAACAGTATATCAGTGTATTATTATTATTATTATTATTATTATTATTATCATCCTGTATTATTCGACCATATATATACATACATACACAGAAATGAACAACCCGGTTGTTTTTCTCATTGCATTATTTCTATGAAAAGTTAGTGGTGTATGCGCGCTTTGTTTTTTGTACACCTCGTATCTCAGGTATCATTTTCGTTTTTTTTTTGGCTTGCTTGCTTGGTCGTTGTTGTTGGTATTTTTTTTTCTCTCTCTCTCTCTCTTTGCTCTATTTTGCCTTGTTCTCTATCTTTTCTTTTTAGTATTCCTCTATCTCTCGCTCGTTTTTTTGCTTCCGCGCGCATGCACATGCATTTTTTTTTTGCACAATGTGCAACTAAATATAAACATGAACTGCATATTAGAGAAAGATATAAATTATTCTAAAAGAAATATGGTTGCGTGCTTAAGTACTCTTTTTTTTTCTTCTTCCTCAAAGCTAGATATATAAATAATGAACATATTGCTAACAAAAGAAAAGAAGTATCTTTATGATAGTTTTTATGAATTAGAAAAAATTGCAAATGAATATTTTATGGTTATTGGTTAAGATAGAAAAATTTCTCTTCGGTTTTTTTTTACTGGAAAATTAAATTATTCTCGATATGATTGTGTCGTTTCAACATTTTAATAAACGAAAAAAAAAAAATGAACAATGCGAAGTTATAAGTATCGGTTAGTTTTCAATTCGATAAAGCATATAAATACTTGACCTACTTTGTGTAAAATCGAATGGAGAATCACATACACAAAAAAGGAAAGTTTGTAGTTTTTGACCTTATACATTGACCATCATCAAGCAAATCATTTTGTTATGTTTGCTATTGTTCTTTTATTAAAATAAAAAACAAAAAGTATTTCGAGAAACAAAAATGGACAAAATAATGAATGAGTCTTTTGATATTGGTGTAACGAGAGAATCTCGTCAGGTGATACATCGTTTTTCAGATAAATCTTATCTCATTTGGTAGTACCTATTGACACTAGAAAAAGAGTCTAAAATGATTTGTGCCCATGGATGTTTCTTCTATGAAATATCCATGAGTACAAATCATTTTAGGTTTTTTTCTCGGTGTCAATAGGTACTACCAAATGAGATAAGACTTATCTGAAAAGCGATCTATCATCTGGCAAGGTTCCCACGTAAGTGCAGTGTCAAAAGGCTAGTACCTCGCATTTTTTTGTCATTGGTTCAGTTTCATTTATGAGAATAATATGATAATATGGTTTCGAAGTGTTCGTTGTTAGAATCCAACTCTTGAAATTCCTGTCAGAAAAATTCGTGCTACGAGTATTCTTTGTATGCAAAATTCTTCTAATGATAATTTCTAAAAGTGCTGAAATTATGGATCTCTAACGTGTTCAGTTTTCGATTACTTTAGTTGAAGAAAAATGAGCCTTGATATATACAGGGAAATCGTTTTTTTCGAAATCAATTTTTGAACCAAAAAACAAGTCTTCCTTTCCCTCATTTCTTTTTCTTCAAAATTTTTTTCCTACGAAAAAATTTGTACCATTGAAAAAAAAAGTGGTGTTTCTATTATTTTGCTTCTCCTGAGCTCTAGGAACGATATTTTTAAACGAAAAAAAAAACACAGATCCTGATTTGATCCTAGTTATTGTAAACAAAATTGCATTTCGAAAAAATGAAGTATAGAGTTTTACGAGAAGAGAGCTTTGGGGCTTTACGACCTTCACATCTCTCTGAAGAAAGCATCTTGGAATTTTGAGTCTATCATAACTTTTGCTCTACTTATTGCAATCTATCCATCTTGAAAGTTTGATAATTTTTCATTGAGTTATTCCTGGAAAGTGGAATGTCGTCTTAAGCTTATGATAACATCTAGTACTATGTTTCTAACAACTACTGTCGGTACGAAACTTTAAGATATTTATTTAAGAATTGAATAAGTCGAGAGTACAGGCAGCTGACAATTTTGGGTTTTCAGCAATTCAAAGAGAATACGTAGAAGACGTCTTTTTCTCTGATCATATGTATGAAAATAGTCTATCATTGCGATGAAATTTTGATTTTCACATGTCATTTGCATAGAAGGACTTAAGATCGATAGTTCAAGAAATAATTTAAATGATTACCGTTTAACATCTCATTTCACAGGCAATTTACTTTTCTGATATCCATTTCTTCTATGTAAAGCATCATTTTTCATTTGAGAGATTGCTTTTTTTGTCGGAATAGTAAGTGGACAATGAGAAAGTTAAGAGACCAAACGGTGTTAACTGTTGATATATGGTAATTTTTTGTTGTCAATGAAATCACTTCATTTAGAGCGTGCTAGATTTATTTTCGATAATTTATTCTAATCTTAACGTCTCAGTTTTCCCTCAAGCAATTTTCGAAACTGAATAATTTATTATATTTTCTAGAGAATTCAAAGCGCAATCATCCGATAAAAATGTATCACAGTCAAATGAAGAAATATGGAAAATACTGACAATGAAATTCTCAAATGCCTCCTGTGATATACATTGCGATGGACAAAAGTTTAGAGTAACTGTATTTTGAAGTTTTCTTCTCAATGGTAATAGCTAGCAAGAATCTGAAAACCATTTCTGTAGCTAAAAGGATTCTCTATCAGAATTGATAGAACTAAGAACTCAAATAAAATTGCTTGAGTAGAGTTGTTTGGAAATCCAAGAGATTCAAAATCAGCTTTCTGATATCGATTGAAGTTTTTGTGAAAAGATTTTATTTGATAAAGCAAAATGAGATATTTTCGGCTTCTTCATTGAACTGCAATCAATTTATAGAAAGTCCCAAAGCATCAAGCACGGCAAAAACATTGAAATTATCAATATAAAACGAAGAGAAAAGGGCTTCTTGGACCCTCTGTAAATTGATGTAGTTCGATAAAGAACAGAAAGCTGGCTTTGGGATCTTCATTTTTCGCACACCCTTATCCAAATAGTTTTGTTGGAATCTTCGAGTCTACCAATCCTAATAGAGAACCCTTCCAGCTACATAAACATTTTTTGTGATTCTTACTAGCTATTACCATCGGAAAGGAAACTTGGAAATACAACTGCTCTAATCTTATGTCCGCCACTATATACAGTATTTCAAAGAAGTTCTACAAGTATTTACTGTCATATTACACCACGGCATGACTAAACGTTATGGAATATCTTTTTTGTATTATATTGTAATATCTGTATCTCCGTAATGATTATATGCAAACTGTTTGAAATTATTATCATAGATAGAGACGTTCTAGATCTACTGTCAGTAAGAATTTCACTGATTTTTCTTCAACCAAAACTGAGTTATTTTAAAAATATCAACCATAAAAGAATTTGAAAGAATGAAATTTTTCTTTTAGACAAGCTGAAAATTTAGTATTCTAATGTGAAACAAAACGATATATAAATAGACATCAAAAAAAAAACTAAAAATATTGTTCATAATAAAATTTTATGTTTTCAAAAAAAGTACAGTTTGGATTAGGATAAATGGAAAAACATCAATGCCAACCAGATATTCCGCATCAAATAATGTATATTTCATTAGTATCAAAAGACAACATTTTTTTCGATTTTATTTAGCTCGAGGAATTTTCGAGTAAAATCAAAATTCAAGTTTCGATAAATTTAATGTTCTATCTTATTTAAAATCCAATGCTTATTCGAAATATATGCATAGTTCAAAATTGCCACCAGGACCTTTACGTTCAACTCGAGCGCTTATTTCTGCAAACGAATGAATTTGTCAAACTACCCTCGGGCAATAAGGTGATACATCAACATTTGATTTTCAAAACTTAAGAGTTAGACAGAATATTATATCGACGGATCAGATCAACCTAAAATTTGAAGTTTTGGCTTAGTCCAGCAGACATCCTAGTGATCTAACAGGTGTCTGCCAGACCCACAGTTCTTGCCTAAAATCACCACTACTTTCGAATATTATTGAAATTCCGTAACACAGTATTTTTCGAAAACATATGTGAACATTAAAATGCAACTACACTCATATCTGATCTATTCGATAGAGTTCGTTGAGTTTTTCTATTATTTTTTACACAACTTTTCTAGTTGATCACTCAATAAAAAGGTTTCGCGTGTGTCTAACGCATTCAAAGCTATTCAACGATAGACATCCATTCATTTCAAATATTATTCATCGTACTCTTTTAAAGGTTGGACTTAGCTTTCTGTGCTTTAGATTCCGAATTTTCTCTATACGTGACTCATTCGTGGATGATAGTCACGTCTAATAGAAGATAAAAGGTATGTGGATAACTTGACATTCTTTTTCATTTGTGCAATTCTACAAATGAAAAAAATGCGTCGTATCTCTATTATAGAAAAAAAATCTTATAACACATTGACAGTAATAAATTTTATAAATTGTTCGATTTTCAATTAATTAATTAAATTACGTATGAATTTTCTTGTTGTCAATCACAAAATATAATTGACAAATGAAATGTCTTTCGTTACATGTAAATATTAAATCTGCAATTTTATCAATGAGTAATATCAGTGGATTTTTATTTTGCAATTCATATAAAAACCGTTCGACGGGAGTAATAAAGGGCAGGGATGCATAACGAACTATCTTGTCCCACTTATTATTCTTTTCTCAGAAAGAAGTATAAAAATTGTCAGGTTTTGTAGCGCTTGAGCTGATAAATCTAACCGTATATTAATATTACCGCGAAATCTTAAATTAGGAGTATTTATGTCACTTACAAGTTTGATCATTAGCATAATATTTCTTCGTGTTTTGAGCTAATTCTTCGTTGAGCCAAAAATGGACGGGCAAGAATGTTTGAGAAGTTCGAATCGATGAATTTACGATCACTCATATGTTTGGAGTCGAAGCTCTTTTCTTCAGATGGGCAAAAGTATGCATTTTTTGATTGATATTTGCCGGTTTTTTTTGTCACATTCATTACTTTTCTAGTCAAAACAAATAGCATATTTGAAATCAGCATAAACAACTGAGTCGACCTGTATGCGTTTCAAATTGTTCGGACAACTTTCATTTTTGTCGAAAAATTCACCTTAGGTCCTCCTCAGAATTCAACCAAAAAAAAATGAAGTCAATCAAAATCTCATTTGAACAGTTGAAAACAAGTGTAGTTGGGTGTAACGAATGGAGACGGGAACTTCAGTCGCGACTAAAGCGTCGAGAATAAGACGGGTATGAGTGTGTGTCTTATCTTCATCGACACCGCACATACACACTCAGCCACACCCACATCTATACCCACACCCTCAAGTTGCGCACAGGGACTGGCTTTAATTTGAAACCAGTACGAGCTCTGTACCCCTTATAACGATGAAATTATTTCGATTCTCCTGAAAGATATAAAAACAAGCCAAAATTTCGATCTAGTAGGGTATATCAGGCGAAAATTTTTACTACAAGCGTTTCCCATTAGGACCATTCATTCCTTTAAGTTTCAGCCAAAACGAGCTGTTCTAAGTGATAAATCGATTCTGAGGAAGGCTCTTATACTAACAATCGCAATGATGAAAATTCAACGGTATTTTTTCGTCAAAATATTTCTTGTTACGCTTAAATTCGCTAAATAAAAATGTGGATGAATGCTTATCGCCTTTTTTGAGCACATAAAACCATACCGAACGGAAAGGGCTGAAGCAATTTTAGGTAAACACTTTGACGATGTAAGTGGTGACATGATTCCTGCAATGTAAGAATTAAAAACCTATACAGACTATAAATAGAAAAATCTAAATAAAAACCGGTTGAACACGTAAAAGGAAAGCACTTTGAAAATCCAAGTCAGGAATAGAGGGTGTTAATTTATCTCTACTTAATAAAATAAAGATAATCCATTATTTATATTTATACAGCAAAGACAAATATATTATTTAGGTCAGAAAAAGTGAAGTTGACACGTAAACTCGTAATTCCGAGCTCACTTATGCATCTATATTTACCAATCAAATTCAGTCTATGTTTTAAGATTTAGAACAGTAAAACCGCTTTGACTGGGAGTGTAGGTGGAGAGCAATACGTCATTGTTAAATAGTTAATAATTAATGAAATCGTACTCAATCAATAAGTATTCATCTTAATGAGTACTCACTTAGTTAGTACTCACCTTAATTAATACTCGTCTCATTAATACTCACTTTAACTAGTGTTCACCTAGTTAGCACTCAACTAATGAGTACTCACCTAATTACTGCTCAATAATGAGTACTTATCTTTATTAATACTTACCTAATTAGTACTTATCTAATTAGTGCTCAACTAATTACTACTCAAGCAAGGAATGGTATTTGTAACGTTTGAAGAGCTATATAGCGATCTCATCTATAACTTTCTAAGGGATACCTAGGGTACTAAGGGTAACACTTTAAGATTTATCTCAGGATGCCAACGGTATCTTTTTGAGGACTATTGGGAGTTATGATGAGTAACCTGTTGAGAGCTCTCTGAGGGTACCATAGCTACACTCATACCCACCTTTTTCAAACGTTGGATACTAGTTTTGTTGAGAACTGTGAAGCAGTATATAATACCGAAAGAGCCGAATATTCAGTCGAGGAGTGAAGCGAATCGCGCGAACGAGTGTTATTTGTAGTTATACGTTGTGAAAAATAAAAATATTTACTTATGAATATATATTAAGTAGCTATGAATAATGATTAAGTAGTGCTTGAGATTAAATAGCAATGATATAAGAGGTAGCTGAAAATATAATCAATAACTAAATCTTAGCGGTAAAATATGTGTTTATTTCAAATAAAAAAAAATCAATATAATGAATACTTTAGATTATGAAAGCTCAAAAAATTTCAATGAAGTAATATTTCTGTATAAAAAAAAACCATCCATAAGTTTATTCTTCTAAAACTCTTGATTTTGTTTTTTTTTCCAATGCAATTTTCAAACCTTCTAGAGTACCATTGAATGATGAATCACGTTATGTACAAACACTACTCATTTGTTTACTTAACACATCAAAAAATATATGAAAATCACGAGAATGCCGTAATTGTTTCATTGTTTCAATACATAATTCTTTTTCACCCAGTAAAGAACATACATCAGATAAAGATTTACATTGGTTTTTTGCATAAGTTCGTAAATCATCAAATATATAATCAACATAATTACTTAATTAATTGTAATTCATCCCATTTTACATCAGTAATTGGTATTTTGTCGGGATGACTCCATGAAATATTCAGTGAGGAATTTAGTTTTTTAGGAATAATTATATAGAATCGAAAATAATTCTTTCCTTTATTACCTTCGCCCCAATTGCCTAATGCTAAGTTTAAAATTTCATCATTTGTTATAGATTCAACAAATTTTTGTAAAGTACTTAAACTTGGATCTGTCTGATTAAAGAAAAATTTACTTTCATCTAATGAATCCACTATAACTGTTGCAGTCAAATTCAATGTACTTAAGAAATTAATTAACAAAGAAAATTGATCACGATAAGAACGTTCCAAAATAGTTAATGGTAAATATTCGATTTTTTTATGCATTGCTACTAGTAGTCTTAAACAATCATCAACAGATTGAGTGTGACGTTTGACTTTAATTTTACGATGTTTTTCTGTTAACACAAGGAGTAATTCTTGATTATTACTACTTGATTGAAAATCATTATAATTAAATTTCCAACATGTCAAGCCACAGTTTGTTATTTCATGAAGTAATTGATTAGCGATTTTGCATAAAATAATAGGATCTCCTATACAATAAAAACTTAATAGAACTGCTACTTCTTTACGAGTTTGTAATATTGTTGAAGATTTCTTTTCTTCGAAAATTTTCAAGTTGTTTTCATTGATGAAAGGTCGAGCGATTTCAGTCAAAATGACTTGTAAGAAATGTTCTTTAGTCCAATATTTGCGAATTTTATCATAAAAATCATCAGAAATATCAAAATTTTCAACAAAATTATCTAAATAATTATTAATATTCGCACCATATATTGTAAGAAGAATTTGATTATTTTGTGGAAATCTCGCAATAATGCATTGTCTCATTTGAGTGTTTTCAGCACCTCGAAGTGCTTGAACAATCATTGATTTTGATAATAGAAGTTTACCAGATGGAAATAAGTGCATAAAATCAGAAAAAAAGGCGACATTCACTATTTATATTTTCAAGTTGTTCTGCATTGTGATATGATAATGGATTCTCAACATTCACAAGACCATAGTAATTATAAATATAACGCTCTGCAATCCTAGTTAAATCGCACGCTCTTGGCGTTTGGTTGATGTATTGTAATATACCTGTCAAGAGCACCTCTATAAGACCACATATAAAGATTGCTCCCAAAGAAAAAGAGAGAATGCAAAACTAATGCTTTAATACGTTTCTATAGACAAATACGTCGCACATGGTATTCTCCTCTACTAATGCTGCTGTATCGTCAATTAGTTTTTTCTTTTCTCTCGGATGGACACGCATCTTGTGACAAATATGGATTTTTCCATTTCTATTATCATTGGTCTATTCAACTATGCGAATGTCGCATTACTTCTATCGTAAACCGAAAAACTAATGCATTTATTTAGATTATCTTTTCATTGTATTGATCAAAACAGTAATTGTACACAAAGTTAGTGATACCTTAAAATATTGTTATATGATATTTTCATTATGAAAATTTTTCTTTTCTTTTTTATCTCTCTTGATCTATGACCTACTGAAACCGATTGGTGTAGCGTTAGACATTAGTTTCTGATGTCAGATTTGTTTATTAACTGTCTTTTGGTACTAATAATCGAGCAGTTTATATTATTGAAAATACATGTAAGACTTGTTCGTTCAGAAGTAATTTCTATTTTTCATACTATAACAATTAATCATTGTAAGCGGAAAGGATAACTTTTCAATACCACATTCAAAGAGATTCAGATGTTGCAAAAATACTGTATCTATGTTTATGAAATCATAGAAGAAAAAGCATTGGACTATTAATAGAAATAGGGTAGAGAATCCTTTCTATTGATATAAAAATAGTCTATGTAGAGCATCGAACTTGATGATCACTAACTCACATAAATCAATAAAAATCTACAAAAACAAATACAAGATCTTAGTTAAGGGATTGAGGAACTATTGATCGTTGCCAATTGTATAAGTAGCAAATTTTGGTTTGAAAAAAAATACTCATTTGTTAAAAAGTTCTGTATAGAATCAACTCTGTTATGTTCTGTATCTATTTGGATACGGTCATAAGGTTTTTGTCTGCCATGATTTGCTTCTCTTGTTCTCGTTCTCTCTATGATTAGATCTATGCGTTGGACTTTTGCTTTTCTTTTCCTCTTCTTTGCTCTCAAAGGGCTTTGATACATCATCCGCTTTTTCTCATACTATATATGGTTGTTTAGTCGTCGCAAAGATTGATATATAGAGAAATAAATTACAAATGGAACAAAGATCTCACAGCTGTTGCGAGGTGATTTATTCAAAATGTCACTATGCATAAAAAATGTTCCCTCAATAAGACAGTTTACGACCAATATATGTACGAACTGATAGTAAGTTTTAAGAATATTTGACTTTGATCGATTCGATTCAAGAAAAACATGAATCGATCCCATCTCTGACGAGTAGGTATATGTACAGAAGCAACACAAAATGTTGAATAGTCTAAAATTAGTACTATTCACGAGTACTATTGAAATTTCGTAACACATTATTTCTTGAAAACAGATGTGAACATTAAATTCATCTATATAGTCATCATAAATGTGTTCGCTAGAGTATGTTAAATTCTCTCTAAATATATCGTCCTTGTTATGAGAAGTAGCCACATGAGTGACCAAAATACACTATACAGCCGAGTTTCATTACGAGAATTTCATTAAGATCTAACATTTTATTAGTAGTCATATGTTGAAAGGGTACTTTGTATTCTATCGGTTAATATTTTTGATCGAACACGTTCTTTCTCTATTAATTCATATTTATTTGAAAATTAATGTTTGTTATGCTATTTTGTACGAATATTTTAAAGTTGCCTACTGTTAAAAACATTATGCGTCTATGTAAAACATGTCAGGCTGTCCAAGAACAGAAGCACATTCATTTCACATATTATTCATCGTACTGTTTTGACTAATAGACTTAGCTTTATTTACTTTTGATTTCAAATCTCGTAGATATGTGTCATACCAATGGATGATAGACATGTCAAATAGAAGGTAAAAGATAAGAAGATAACTTAACATTCCTTTTCGTTTGTAGAATTATACAAATGAAAAAAAACAATGCGCAGCATCTCTTACCAATAAAAATCCTATAAAACATTGAGAGTAGCGAACTTAATAAATTGATTAATTTTCAATTAATTAATTAAATTGTATATGAATTAAATGCTACTATAAACTCTCTCATAGCCAATCATAACATATCATCAATGAATAAGAAATCTTTCGTTACATGGAAATTTTTCGATGATTAATACCAGTGGGTATTTTTTTTTTGTTGTAGAAGGTGTGTGAAAGCCATTCGAGAAGAATACTGAATTCATTTGATTTTATATGTGAAAGATCATTTTCTTATTATCATGAATAATATTCTATCTTCAACTTCACATCGACTTGAAATACTTCCTGATGAAATTTTTCTTGAAATCTTCAAATATTTAAAACCAATCGATCTTCATAGTTTCATAGGACACAATTTACGAATCAATAATATTATACATGGTGTAAAACTAAACATCATTATTCAGTATTCTGAAGAACAAAATGATTTCTCTTATGTGAAGAGTTTTCTTCCAAATCAATTCATTCGTTTAGAATTATGTTATCCTTGTGAAGCATTGGATTTACACTCTTATACACAGCTACGCTCATTGAAATTCGATTGCATTTTTCTGTTGGAACAACAATTTGATCAAGTAAGTTGAATGACTGTGTCTTACATGTCATACTATCAAGAAATCGATACAGAAGTATGAAGCATACGTCATTATTATTATTATTATTATAGGTACTCACTGTTACCTTGCCATATCTTGAACAATTGTCCATTTGTAATGTTTCATATTCCTTCGGAAAAGAACTATTACTTTTGATTCTTGACAGCAAACATTTTCCATCACTTAAATTTTGTCAATTTTCTGGAAAATTTTACTATATGCTAGATTTTAATAAGCTCTATCAATTACCAAATCTTACAATTCGTACACTTTTACTTGGTAAATGGAATGCTTCAATGTTAGGTCCTTTACTCAATTTTCTACCTAATTTACATCGATTTGAAACAAGTTTTTCAGAATCTATTAATGAATCATTGCATTTTAACATGTATCACACATCAATTGAACATTTACGAATAAGTCTTATGGATGTATTCAATGATCTTGAGAAGATACTTCCATATATGCCTAATTTAAAACAATTACGTGTCACAGGAAAGATTCCTGAACATTCGATATCAAAGAATTTCGAAAACTTGAGTAAAATTCTATGTGTTCATACACCTGATCTACAAAAATTCGATTGTGAATTATATTGTCATGGATGTAATGAACAAGCTGATATTCTTATCATACAACAATTTCATCCACTTTTCAATCTAATACAATGTCATTTAGGACGATTTTTAAGTCAATGTTACACGACTGATCTAACGACACATACAACTTTGAAGGAGTTTGCATGTGAGTATAAAGAAATTTTCTTCAAATGATGTTTGAATTTTATATGCAATGATTATATAATTATTTGTAGTAAATACGATATATATGATAGACAAAATTTATCGATAGAAGTTTAAATTAATTTTAATTGAATATGATATCATTATTTTTAGATTTTAATCCAACAAGAAACGATACAGCTGAGTATTGTGAAGAAATCCATAGATGTAACAGTGGTAAATATTATAACGATGATCATAACTCGATTAATTCTGGACTTGACTATCGTACAATATACAAAGAAAATTATCTATCTCTTCTATGGAATCGTAATGACAATGACTATTAATTTGGATAATAGGAAAAAAAAGTGTGTTGAATTAGAATTTTTACAAATATAAAATTAAATTTTTTAGATTAAATGCTTAATATAGTTTATCTTGAAATGGTGAAAGCATTCATCAGTAAATTTAAATGAATAAAAGGCATAGATTAAGCAGATGTTCTACTCTGTATCTGCTAAGCGTTAAAGTTGATGTCCCTTTTCATTGAGAAAATTTTTCACCATCTCATTGGAAATTCTATGTACAGACAGTGCTTTTCTCATGAAGAATTGTTCATTTGATAGAAAGTTTATGAGAAATAGAAGAAGGAAAAGTTTAATTTAGAGTATAACAAATCACATCAACTAATATGAAGCAGATAATTTTTTAATGCAGTGTGAAGTACAACATTTCTGTTATTGGCCACGTACGCATTCAACCTTCATACTTTGCGTTGCGATGTTCTAGAGAACAGCGAGTCACTAGAGATTCGTTCGACGTTTGTTAGGGAGATCCTTGTCTCGAGATAATACCAAGGTTTTCGACTCTTCAATAAATTCCACAAAACAGTGATTTTGACGATTTGATCATCATCGTTTAGTTGAGATAATTAAAATTGGTGAGTTAGTCACTAGTCAATTGTTGTGAACAGAAGAAATAATGAAAACTTTCGATAGAACAGGATCTATTCTAGGTGAGGGCGTGGGTGTGGGTGGGTGTGGGGTGTGGGTATGGAGTGTGGGTGTGAGAGAATAGAAATTCTACACTCGTATCCACCCGTACCCTAGTTTACAGCGAATCTTCAATTGCCAGATGTGTATTCAAAACGTCAATGAAAGTTCTATAAAGCTGCACGAAGATCACATATTTAGAATTAATCATTCAGGAGTTATAGGTATTCTAGTCGAAACTCTCAGTGATTTTTCTAGCAGTTTCTATGAAAAAAGTTTTTTTTTGCTGTCTCGTTTTCGATAAAAAAACCTGTTATTTCGACAGTTAGAAAATTGATTAAACAAACTTCAGACAACGTAGTAGGAAAACCTATAATATACGATTCAATACATCACCATTTCCTCTTTCGAATGATGCAAACTACAGCTCTCTATCTTATTTCTATGAAAAGTTATTTCAAAAATATCCACTCGCTCTTTTTTTTTTAAATATACATTAGTATAACCGTCACATTTGATAGAAAAACAACTCTTATGAAAATTTTATTATTATGATATTAGTTGAAGAATGATCAAATTCCATAGAAAAAATAGTGCATTGTTTGTACTATCACTGCATATAAAACGAAAATTTCTTCAAGTTTTCTATACGGAAGTAAAGTATCTTTGCCATTACTTTTAGATAGCCCTAAGTATCATGTAGTCAAAGAGATGAAGAGTATGAGTAAGGATGACACTTTATTTCTATTTTGCTATTATAAAGCATAGTAAAGTAAAGAAGAGTGAAGCAAAATAGATACAGTTTCATTACAAAATAGATGATGCAGCAAATATGACATTTCGTTTGGGAATCAGATAAAGATTTTTATTGAGTGTCAATATTCCACCAGTTTTATGGTATTCAATTCGCAAAATATTTAAATAATTTCCTACGGAAGATTATGTGTCATAAGTTTTCTTGCTATTCTGCTTCACACATTGACGACGAATAGTATCCGTTGAAATAAAAAACATCAAAAAAGGTATTGCACACTCTTCGTGTTAAAATGAAAGAAGAGAAGAAAGTGTTGCAAAACAAAATTGGAAAATATGGAACGTGAAAAAGATGAACTAACTAAAAGAACAGATCTTGAATTTCATCGATTTTCGGAAAACCAAAGTTTGAGTCAAGATAAACGCAAAAAAGCCAAAACGAACGAGATATTCATCATCAGTACAGGATTCAACAACAAATAATTTATATTTCATTAGTATTCATGGAAAAAATGTTTTCTTGAGTTCATTTGACTTGAAGAATTTTCGAGAAAAATTCAAATTCAAATTCTGATGAACTAAAATGTGCATTATGTTGAGAATACGATCTAAATTTCAAATATATTGAAATGTATGCATGGTTATATAAATAAGAACAGCATAAAATGTTGAATTGTCTAAAATCACGATTATTTTCGGATACTATTAAAATTTCATAATGCAGTATTTCTAGAAAATTGATGCCAACATTAAATTCAACTATACTCTATTTATCATGTGTCGATAGAGTAGTTCACATTTTATTGGTTAATATTTTATTGAAGAAGTTCTTTTTTTCTACTGATTCATGTTTATTTCTAAATAATTTTTTCCTGCCAGTTTTTACACAAGCTTTCGAGTTCACTAATCTAAGAAAGATTTCGCGTGGGTGTGTGTGAAACATGTAAGACTACTCAAGAATAGAAATGTATTCATTTCAAATATTAATCATCATGCTCTTTTGAATGTGAAACTCAATTTTCTTTCCTTTCGATTTTGACACTTCTTCATATGTGATGATTTGATGAATGATACGCATGTCATATACAAGGTGAAAGATAAGCAGATAACATAATATTAATTTTCATTTGTGCAATTCTACAAATAAAAAAATACGCAGTATCTCTACTATCGAATAAATCTTTAAAAAAATTGAGAGTAGCGATCGTGATACATTTCTCAATTCTCATTTAATTAATTAAATAAGATGTGCGTTAAGTGCTACTATAAATCTTATGATTGTCAATGATGAAATGTAATTGATAAAATGATAAGCCTTGTAATATATGTAACTATGAAATATCTCTTCTTTTTGTTTTGATGATTAATACTAGTGTGTTTTTGTTGTGCAAGGTGTATAAAAACACCGGTCGACTACAGTGATAAATTGATTAAATTTTATATATTAAAGATAGTTTTCTTATTATCATGAACAATATTCTATCTTCCATTCCAAATCGACTTGAAATACTTCCCGATGAAATTTTTCTTGAAATCTTTGAATATTTAAAACCAATCGATTTGATAAGTTTCATAGGACATAATCAACGAATCAATAATATTATACACGATGTAAAACTAAGCATCGTCATTGAACGTCCCAAAAAAGAAGAACACGAAGAAGAAGATTTCGATTATCTGAAGAATTTTCTTCCAAATCAATTCATTCATCTGGAATTACATCACCATTGGAACGCATTAAATTTACATTTGTATACAAAACTACGTTCACTGAAACTCAATTGTACTTTTCTGTTGAGAAATCAATTTGATCAGGTAAGTTGAACTAGTGTGTTTTGTTTGTCGTACTATCGAGAAACTGACACAAAAGTACGAATGTATATTATTATTGTTATAGGTACTCACTGTTCGCTTGCCATATCTTGAACAATTTTCCATATGTAGTGTTCCATATGCTTTCGGAAATGTATTATTACCTCATATTCTTGACAGCAATAATTTTCCATCGCTTAAAGTTCTTCATTTTTCTGGAAAACGTTACTATATGCTAGATATTCACATGCACAATAAAACGCCAAATTCAACAATTCGTACACTTATTCTTCATAGATGGAGTGGATCAATGCTAGTCCCTTTACTCAATCTTCTACCTAATTTACGTCGATTGAAAATGATTTTTTCAGAATCTGTTAACGAATCAATGAATTTCAATATGTATCAAATGTCACTTACACACCTACGAATAAGTGTTTTAAATCCATCTAATTCTCTCGAAAAGATACTTCCCTATATGCCTAATTTAAAACAATTGCATATCACAGGAATGATTCGTGAACAGTCGATATTAGAACATTTTACAAAATTGACTAATATACTTCATATTCATACACCTGATTTACAAAAATTCGATTGTGAATTATTTTGTAATGGAATGAATGATCATATCGATATTCTTATTATACAACAACTTCATCCACTTTTCAAACCAATACAACGTCATTTAGGAGATTATCCCTATCAATGTTTTGCGACTAATCTAACGAAATATTCACATCTGAAGGAATATGCATGTGAGTATATAGAATTTATTTCACGTAATTTTTCAATTTTTATATGTAATCATTATATAATAGTGGTAAATACGATATATGATATCATGTCTTTTAGATAGGAAGCGAACAATATTCGACTCTTTTGAGTATTGGGATGATACGTGTAGAGATGACAGCGGTGGATATTATGACGATGATGAATAACTCAATTATGAACATGGCTATTTTTAAACAATACAAAAAAAAACTGATTTATCTTTTCTATAGAATATTTATAGCGAGGACTATTAATTTAGATAATTGGCAGAAAAAAAGCTCGTTTAATTAACAAGTTTAGAAAAATGAAACTAGGTTTTTTAAATTTTAAATGTTATACATAGATAATTTTGACACAATGAAATTGTTGTCATTGAATTTTATATGAATAAAATATCTTGTTTTAATTATGATTATAAGCAAGATGAAGTCTGAAAATTAGATATATTTGTTTCTTTATCCATCTTGTTTTATTTGAAAGGAAAAGTATCCAAAGAAAAAAGACATAAAAATATGTTTTTATTCACAATGTTGTCAAAAAAAAGATTGGGTATGTTTCTGCATACATAAACATTTGACGAAGGAAAGGAAAAAAAAAATTAAATCAATACACAAATTCGCTATACTATCTGAGCAAATTTCAGCATAAAGTTCGTAATGTTATATATTTCGAAAAGATGTATCGTAAGAAAAATAGTCGAGATAGAGAAAATTAAATTGATAATTCAAATTGAACAACTATCGAAGCAGATCGAGTGTTTTCAAATGACAGAAGCAATAATTGCTTTAGCATCATCAACTTGTGTACTGCACACAATACCTTCAAATTTATTGAAAAACATAGTTTGTACCTAATCAAGTAAAACAAAATAAATCGATCGATAAATTCGAAAATCAATTTTTTGAACATACTCATGGATCAACAACAATTAATTCAAATACATTTTTTACTTGTGCAGCTGCAACTGCAGTTCCGCCACTAACATTAAGAAAATTAGCTGGATCACTACATCATGTAATTTAATTATAACCATCGTAGGCATAACTACTAATTTAAATTAGATTCTTCATGTTTAACATCACGTCAATCTTTTCGTGCATAACCTTTTTTTTTTTTATTAAATACAGCATGTTGTCGAAATCCTGAATTACCATCAACATTAATCTTACAATTCATACCTATAGAAAAGATTATTTTCTTAATAATGGAGAACAATAATCAATAGATTTTTCTATCAGATCTTGTAGTTATAGGATATTTCATAACTTCTAACATGAGCACAGCTTTGTTTTTGAAAGTGATGTAACATGGTGTATTGTATCAAAGCGCATGATAATTTTTAAGTCTGTTAAAACTGATAGAATTGAGTCGATTTCGATGCACTCTTATAATTTTGTTACGTCTCAACTGCTTGTACTACCCACAGAATCCAAATTGGATCTAGTTATGAGATAAATTGTAATTATAGATAGCACTCCAAGAATTTTTATTAGTAAAATATATTCTGAAACTATTTTCTTCTCGATGAACTTGAATTCTTTCTACTAGTAAATTTGAATTTTGACTAGAAAACATTTTCTACCATCGTTTATAGTTGATATCGATGATTTGTGAATACATTATTATGTTTCATCTACATGTAACTTTTTCTTAAGCAGTTATATAGCAAAACTGTAGTTCGTATATAATCGGTTATTATTTTATTGAATAAATTTTTGTTGTGTCTGCTAATTCATGTTTATTTAAAAATGAATTCTTCTGCAATTTTCTATCAATCTTCTAGAGTTGATCATTCAAAAAAAAAGATTTCATCTGTGTGTAAAAAATTTAAGACTGCTCAAGAATAGAAATGGTAGACTCAACTTTCTTTATTTCTGATTCCAAATCTTCTTCATCTGCAGCTCATCAATAGATGATGCAATGTCGAACAGAAGGTAGAAGATAAATAAATAACTTAAAATTATTTTTCATTTAGTGAAATTCTACCAATGAAAAAAATACATGGGATCTCTATTATCGATAAAATCTTAAAAAAAAACATTGCGAGTAATGAAGTTGATAAATTATTGAATTTTGAATTAATTAAATAAATTATATACGAATTTTTTGATTGACAATGAGGAAATATAATCGATGCATGGAGAGTCTTTCGTTGCATTTCAATATGAAACTTGGAATATTCTTTCTCAATGAGTAATATCATTGGGTTTTTTTTTCCAAGTTATGTATAAATCATCCGACAACAAGAATAAATTTGTTTGATTTTTATACTCTAAAAATAATTTTTTGCATTATCATGGATAACATTCTATCTTCAACTCCAAATCGACTTGAAATACTTCCCAATGAAATTTTTCTTGAAATCTTCAAATATTTAAAACCAATCGATTTGATAAGTTTCATAGGACACAATTTACGAATCAATAATATTATACACAAGGTAAAACTAAGCATCGTCATTGAACGTCCCAAAAAAGAAGAACAAAATTTCGATTATCTGAAGAGTTTTCTTCCAATTCAATTTATCCATCTCAAATTTTGTTATCCTTGGGACGCATTAAATTTACATTTGTATACAAAACTACGTTCATTGAAACTCGATTATACTCGTCTGTTGCAAAGACAATATTCTCAAGTAAGTTGAACTAGTGTATGTTATTTGGCGTAATATTGAGAAATTGACAGAAAAGTATGAAATATATGTTATAATTATAGATATTAACTGTTCACTTACCACATCTCGAGCAATTTTCCTTGTTTGGTCATATAGATTGCCGTGGGGATACAATATTGCTGTCTATTCTTGACAGCAACCATTTTCCATCACTAAAAGTTCTTCAATTCTCAGACAGAATTCACCATACACTAGAATTTAAAAAGCACAACCAATCATCAAATAATACAATTCATACGCTTACTCTTCATATTTCCAATGTATCAATATTGGATCCTTTACTCAATCTTCTACCTAATTTACATCGATTTGAAGCGAGTTTTTCACTAACCATTAATCAATCATTGAATTTCAATAAATGTCATATGTCACTTAAACATCTGCAAATAATTCTTGTAAATCCATTCAATGATCTCGAAAAGATACTTCCCTATATGCCTAATTTAAAAGAATTGCGTGTCACAGGAATGATTCGTGAACGATCGATATTAGACCATTTTAAAAAATTAAGTGAAATTTTTCATATTCATACACCTGATTTACAAAAATTCGATTGTGAATTATATTGTGACGAAACAAATGAACAAGTCAATATTCTTATTATACAACAACTTCATCCATTATTCAAAATGATACAATGTCATGAAGACAGTTTTTTTAAAAACTTTCCTTTAGGAAACCGTCGCAAATATTGTTATGCAACTGATCTAATGGAATATACAATTTTCAAAGAGCGTGAATGTACGTATAGACCATTTTCTTTACTCTAATTTTCGATTTTTATATGCAATGTTTATTGATAGAAATCAGATATAAAGACTGAATTGAATCAAATCGAGATGTGTTCATTCGATTTGTTTTCTGCATGACCGAACTAAAATATAAAAATTCGTCATTTCAGATGTAAATATGTAATAGAGATTGATTAAATAGACTTAATAATGATTATTGACTTAAATAACTTACAAAGATACAAAAGGCAAGGCTAATAGTTATAATAAAGTTCGTCTAATTGTTATAAACAAAACTACTTGTTGTCAATGTGTAAATAAATAACTCAGACATATACTGTAATTTATATATTCTTTGATGAGTTTAACACGTTTATGTCGAACTTCATAATAATCTATTGCTATGAAAAGTTTAATAATAAAGAAAAAAAAAATATTTTAATTTTTAACGATTGAGTCGAATGCTATACGAATGATGATTTTGATATTTGTTTTAATCTTTGATGAAAATCTAAAGTATTTTTAATCAAATATCATACCATCTCTTCTAGACTATGAACAAATAACACGTAAGCCTGCCGAATATTATCCAGTATTGAGTGGATATGACAGTGGTGAATATTATGACCACAATGATGATTTATTTTGATTATGAATTTCGTTATCATGAAACTTACACTACAAATTATGAACTTTCTCTATGAAATCGTTATAACGATGATTATTAATTTGCATAATCGATCAAAAAACTTATTTAACCAACAATTTCACGAAACAAAAAATTGTCTTTTAATATCAAATGATGCATTTATTTATATGAATAAAATATTCTATTTTAGCTATGATTATAAACCAGATGAAAATTTCATGTCAAATACATTTGCTTGTTCTTCGATAGTGTTTTATTTCATAGAAAAAAAAATGTTTAAAAAAAGAAACACATACATATGTTTATTTTTCTCCGTGTTATGAAAAAAAAAGAGTATGTTTACTCAAGCATAAACATTTTTGGCGAAGGAAAGGAAGGAAAAAAAACGAAATTACCCACACACAAATTCGCTATACTACTCGAACAAAGTCCAGCATATCGGAAAGACGTAACGGAAAAAAAAAACATAGTCAAGATACAGAGAAAAATTAAATTGGTAATTCAAATTGAACAGCTATCGAAGCAGATCGAGCTAAACTAACAATCTCAGCTAATTTTACTACCTAGAAATAAATACAAAAAATAATTTTTTTTATTAAAACAATAATATTCTTACTAATCGAGCACCATCATCAAGATCATCACAAGGAAGTATTTTCAATTGACTTGAAGCAATAATTGCTTTAGCATCATCAACTCTTGTACCTATATCATTCAATTAAAATTCTATTTAAAAAAATTGAAATTTACAAATAATTTACCTTGTAATCGTACAACAATTGGAATAGTCAATTTAAGTTCTTTAGCAGCTGCAACAATACCCTGAGCAATAACATCACATCGCATAATACCTCCAAATATATTGACAAACACAGCTTGTACCTAATCGAGTAAAACGAAATAAATTAAGCAAAAATTTTTTTTCTTTTTTTGAACATACTCGTGGATCAACAGTAATTAATTCAAATGCATTTTTAACTTGTGCAGCTGAAGCACCACCACCAACATCAAGAAAATTAGCTGGATTACCACCATGTAATTTAATTATATCCATTGTAGCCATAGCTAAACCAGCACCATTAACAAGACATCCAATTTCACCATCAAGACCAATATAATTTAAATTAGCTTCTTCAGCTTTAACATCACGCCAATCTTTTTGTGCATTATCTTTTTGTTTAAATACAGCATCTTGTCGATATTCAGAATTATCATCAACATTAATCTTACAATCCATACCTATAGATAAAAAAAAAAGAAATTATATTCTTATTTAAAAAACAAAAAAAACAAACAATAGATTTTTCCATCAGCTCCTTCAGTTAATGGATTGATTTCTAAGAGAACAATATCTTTTGTAATAAATAAATTATACAATTTCATCATTATATCAGCTGCCTAGAAACAAAAATATAACTACTGTAGTTTGAAAAAAAATAGTTGTAAAAGATTGATGAACTTCTAGAAGAGCTTCATTACGAAATCCAAGTTGTTCTGCTATGTTCAATGCATCTTTATGTTCAAGACCAGTAGCAATATCAATAGGATGACGAATAATTGCTTCAGGATAATCAGCAGCAATCTCTTCAATATGTGAACCACCTTGAGTTGATGTTATAATTACAGGACCATCATATCGCCGTTCTAATGCCACTGAAAAAGAAAACTCAGACCTTGAATCTTAGAATTTCAAAAAAAAACAAAACAAGAAATGAAAAATACTGACATGCAAAATAATATTCTCGTCGTGTAAATAATTTTTCACATATAATTATACTATTAACAGGTTTTCCTTCACGACCTGTTTGTTTTGTATATAAACGATGACCAAGCATTTTCGATGCAACTTGTTTTGCTTCATCAGGTCTATGAAAAATAAAAATATGTTCCTTCTTAATTATATAAATAAATATTAAATCTTACGAAAAAACCATTTTCACACCACCTTTAAGTCCACTATCAAATGTTCCTCTACCTCGACCACCAGCAAGAATTTGAGCTTTGATAACAAGATCATGACCAAGTTCTAAGAGAAATTTAAATTAATATTATAAAAGAATAATATATGAAAATTTAAACCTTGACTTGAAGCTATTTGATAGCTTTCATCGGCTGTTTTAGCAATACGATATTTTGGTACACGAATTCCAGCTTCTTCAAGTAATCCCATAGAAACATATTCATGAAGTAATAAATAAAAACGTTTTTGTACTGTTAAAATCGATTTTATTGACACCGGTGCAAGCTATCATAAAAATAAAATTAATTTTTTTTTTGTTTTGGAATTTTATAATTTACTTTAATGAGAGAATTTCTAATGAAAGCCATCTATTTTATTTTATTTTATTTTTTCAAAATAAACTTCAAGTAAAATTCAATTGTTCTGTTTGCATCCATAGCGCTTCATTCGCTTTTAGTAATACCGATGGGAGTTATTTATAAGAGGTCGCTGAATGACAACGAGATCGATACATTTTCAGTTGTCACTCATGTTCTAAATAATAAAAGCGTTAAAAAAAATGATTAAGTAAATCAATTGATTCTACATTCTTCTTCTTTTTTTCCTCTTTCCATTATTATACATTTTTTTGCCTTATTGTGCGTCATCTGTCTTACTAGATTTCTTTTTTTATTTTTCATTGTCATCTGGTGCTTTTTTTTTGTGTAATACAACATAAACAAAAAAAAAAATATGAGACATAAATGTATGCTAAGCAATCGATAGGAAACAATGAATCTTATCAAATCAATGCATTTACGAGATTGGAAAATATGAGATAAGTGATTATATTATTTCTAATCAAGGACATTTATTGTCATTATTATTATCTGAATACATCTTCTTCTTTTTTTTATTTCTTTCGTCGTTGGATTTTTTTTTATGGATAGTCGATATAGAATTTATTATTTATTACAAAATCAAATTTCTAACTTATTATTTCGATAATGTCAAATACAAAACGATCCGATTCCTATTTCGAATCAATAAAACGAAGTGCACATCCACTTACAACTATGCCATTAGTAAAATCTAGACGATCAGCAACAAGTGGAAATATTAATCGAACATCTGCGCATAATCATATAACATCTAATTTATCTTCTAGTACAAGATCTGCAACAATACCAGCAAGTACAAGTAGGTTTTTCTATTGTTTTTTCGTTTGGGTTTATATATCCTAGAGTTGTTCTTTAGTCATCGATCATCAAGATTTTCCAACTCAACAAGTTATTATGGATAATTATTCAAAAAAATTAAATACTTCACCAAAAGTAAAACCACCACGTGAAGTTTCACTTCGTGTTAAATTTATTCGTCTTGGTGAAGTAAGATTTTTGTTTTTTGTTTTTATAATCTTTAGCCATTTATTATAAATACAAACAGGTAAATACATTACATGAAAAATTTTATGCTGAAGTTGTTATTGAAGCACGATGGTTATATGATCCAGAAGCAGCTTCATGGAATCCAAATCTTTATGTTAAAAATGCACTTGGTGATGTTAAACAAGAAATAGCTAGTGAATTAGTTAATAATTTAGATGAACCTATACATGATAATAATAATAAAGAATATGATATAATTTATGTTTGGGAAATACGTAAAGTTGTTGGTACATTTTGGGAAAAACTTGAATTAAATAGTTTTCCAGCTGATGTTCAACAACTTTCATTACAAATTGTAACAAGATGTCCAATTGAAGAATGTATTTTAGTTGAAAATCGTTTTCAACCATCAATGGTTAATCGTGAAGCATTTTTAGGTAAATTTTAAAATAAAATAGAATTAATCGATAAATAATAATTAAATTTTTATAGCACAACAAGAATGGTTTCTTTATGAACATATTGAAACACGTTCAACAATAACAACAGAAGATTTTAGTTTTCGACCTATACGTCAATCAACTTATCTTGGTAAAATTCTATATGATAAATATTAGTTTTCGTATAGATTACTATTGATTTTAGTAACTTGTTGTGTTGCTCGTCGACCTGGTTATTTCTATTGGAATGTTTATTTGCTTATTTTTCTTATTACACTTATTGCTCTTACTGTCTATGGTGTTGCACCTGAATATCCTCATAGTCGTCTTCAAATTACTGGTGCATTTATTTATTTATTTTTTTTTTTGTCAATATTAAACTATTTTTCTTTTATATAGGAACACTTTTACTGACTTCTATTATGTTTCGTTGGTCGGTATCTCGTCTTCTTCCACCTGTTTCTTATTTAACTTTATTAGATAAATATACATTAATTTCATTAGTTTTTATTTCACTTAATTCTATATGGCATTCAATAATTGGTTTTCTTATTCGAGATATGGGCATATCAAAAATGATTGATTATTATGTACTTAGTTTCTTTACAATTATTTTTCTTGTTTATCATTTTTTAATGGCATTTATTTTATTTCGAGCATTACGTAATCGTAAAATAATGCTTGAAAGTGATCGTAAATATGCATCGAAATTAGCTGGTATGTTTGAAACATTTGTACAAGGTCATCATGCTGTACAACGTTTTAAAGATAGACAAAATTCAAGTCATGCATCTTTATTTGTTTAATAAACCTACTTTTTTTCTCTTTTTTTATTTCACAAAAATAAAGAACAACAACAACAACAAAAAAAAGAAAGAAAAATAATCTACATTACTTTCGTTTATATATACATATCAAATTATTATTTGTTGTTAGACAAAGATAATTATCATTGAGACTAGCTGAAAGAAGACTAGGTATTGTAGAATTTCTAATTTGTGGCCATGAAATTTCATAACGTTTATTATCAAATGTTGGTTTTTTTAATTTTTTATTTATTGAATTCATTCGAATTTGATGATAAAAAAATGAACCATGATCACTACCAATAATACATTCAAATGACATTGTTGTTGATGTATGATCATTTTCATTATTTATTAAACATATTGTCATTTTAGTTGGAATTTGTCGATAAGGATTTGGTAATGTAAGAATAATATGTAATTGTTGATTTAAAAGAGATTGTTCAAGATCGAAACAATATATTTGATCAAAACCAAGAATATTAATTGCAATTAAATGAGTTTGATTATCAATTAAACGAATCGATTCAATATATTCTCCACTTGTACATATCGATTTTGGAAATTTTAATTGTATTGGAGTTTGATTTTTTATTATAAATAAACCTGAAGTTGTACCAACTAGAAGTAGAATATTTGTTTTTGATAATGAATAAAAAAGTAAATCAGTTATATGAAGAATTGTATCATCACCATTATCAAAATTATAAACATATGTTGATGATATTTTATTAATAAACATTGCCGATTCAACATAATCAAATTGTGCAGTTGATGAAGTTTTTTTACGAATAAATGATAAAAGACGATCAATATAAGATTGAATATTAATATAACGAACACTATGATAAGAACCAATGACTAATGTTGATGGATCTGTTGAATGCCAAGTTAAACAACTAATTGATGAATTCTAAGAATGAATAAAATAAATAATTATTTATAGAGCAATTGGAAGCGATTGTTTTTCATCGTTCTTTTTTTTTAGCCATTTTTAGGGTATAGAAGTTAATCTAATTTATTTGTTTTTATCGATTTCTATGACTTAAGCGATACAGAAATATGAGCTTCGAAGCTTCCAATTCACAAATGTCTAGTCACAAACAAAATCTGTTAGCGCAATCGCCTGTGAGATTAAAATGTGAAACACGATATCCCTGTTATTACTAATCACGCGAATATTGTTTTCTTCAATATGCCTTCGGACTCATTAATACATCATTTTTTTACTCAATCCTCTAGAAATGCAATAAGGAAGCAGTTGCTATGGTCTCATGAGATTCGAGTGATATATATACTCGCTATGTGTATTAAAAGACCCCATCATGATGTGTGATGGTCTCTGAAGCCCGTCTGTCACGGTCTGTGGGGGGAGGGGTGGATCCAAGTTTCTACCCTATATACTACAACACTCCTTTTAGATTGTGCTTCACAAAATACCAAGTTTAAATACTAAGCTCATGGATTCTCAGTATACGATAAGGGCCTCGGATTATACTGCATGAATTTATTATGATCACGAAAAGTTAGCCACCCATGAGAAGTTAAATTCAGTATAAAGTATAGATTTTTTGCATCCAAAATCTTGAGCTTACTTTTCTGAATTAGTTTTAATCGACTGTCAGAAACTCTCAGATAGTTAATAGTTTCCAAGTCATCATTTCGATATAATAATATTAGAAAAGATTCTCTTCTATTGAGAAAGTTATAACAACCACTAGGATCATACAATTGTGAAAATATTTAAGTATTAAGAAACCTCGGAATATGAAGTCCCGTGTAGAGCTGTATACTTCGTAGCACATTTTATCTTCCTATTGGCAATAGTACTATTTTACAAATCGAGAAACCTTGGAGTTGTATTAAGCAATGATTTTGCGATAAGAATAGATCCAATTTAATCATATCTTTACTTGAGAAAGTCAGACAAAACAATGCATATAGATTGCTGTGAGTTATTATATGCAAAAATTGAATAAGAGTTCTTTCTTCGTTTATAGTATTAGCATATATAGAACATGACTGGCTACAGTAGAAATTGTTATTAAGAGTCATAGAAATTTCTTCTTGAAACTGTAATAATAAACTTCTCTCAAAAGAACTAATCTCCGTTTCACAATAGAAGGCAGATTGCCGTTTTCTGAAATAACTTTTGCTGTTAACAAGGTTCTAGACCTGTAATTTTCACTGTCGGAAAGAGCGATGTCTGAGCCATCGATCTGTATAAAATTCATTAGCGTAAAAGATTCTTTTTTACAGTTGCTTTTGCTTATTTTATAGTGAAAAAAAAAGGATGATGAGCTATAAAAAAAGTGCCAATTCAAAAGCAACTGTAAAACAAAAAACATCTTTTGTCCTAATGAATTTTATAGAGATCGATGGCCTGGATATTGCTCTTTCAAACGGTAAAAACCATAGGTCTATAACCTTCGATTGGCCGGTTCGTTCTGATTGAAAAGGTCAAATCCACAGGTCTGCTCTAATTGTAAAAAAATTTCACCGGTTCTAAATCTAACGTACAGGTAATTCAATATGTCCAAACATAATTTTCCATTGATGTGATAAAAGATAAATGTGTCCATTTGTTGCACCAACTGCTAATACTTTCAAATTTTCATTTTCTTGTGGAATTTCTATCCAACATAAACATGAAAAATATTCTGCATTTATTTTATCATTTTTATCTTTTATTTTTCGTCCAATTGGCGTTATAGTTGAACGTAATGAAGATACTTCATATAGATGTGTTACTTCACATGTATCACAATTAATAAAACATATTTTTTGACCACCACAACTAGCTAATATATTATTAGATGTATTTGGTTCAAATGCACACATTCGTACAGATATTGTTGTTAAATCATTATCAGATGTTTGATGACAACGAAGAAATTTAATTGGTTCAAAATAAATTTTTGTATTCATTTTTAAATCATTAAAATCATCAGTTAAATGTGTTTTAAAACTTTTTTTTGATTGATTTTTTTTTGGTAATGATTGACAAAGTTCGTTAATTTTCTTTCCAATTAAATAATTTCCTAATGGAGATAAATGTATTTGAGAAAAATTCGAATGTTTTTCAAAAATTTTTATCATAGCATGATGAAAATCATCAAGTAATGTTTTAACAATATGATTATTTTTATCATTAATTGATTCTTGTTTATATTTATCATAATATGATAATGACCATAGACGATCAATTTTAGTTTCAATTAATTGTAACCATTGATCTAATTTTAATTGATTATCATCAATTTGATCATAATTTGAATCAATCAAATGTTCAATTGTTGGACAAAGGTATAATAATAAAAATTTTTCAATATTTCCAAATAAATTTTCTGTTACATTTAATGTTTTTAAATATTTAAAATCTTTAAGAAATAATAATGTTTCTAATTTATTATGACTTATATTTAATATTTCAATAAAATTTTCATGAGATTTTGACCAATCAAAATTTATTGAAATTAACTGATTATATGATAAATCAAGTGAAATTAATTTTGGTAAATATTCAAATGGAAATGAATCAATTTTAATTAATTGTAAATTTGATAAATTTAATTCAGTTATTTGATTATATGATGATGATGATGATGGTAAACGTTTCGATGATATCATTAATGATATAAACTCATTCTGTGAATGTTTACGAAGACGTTTAGATGGTGATGACATATTCTAAAATAATTTTCAGGTTTTTTTTTTTTTGTTTTGTTTTTCAATATGATTCAGTTTGATTTATTTGAAACAATGGAAATGATTTGTTTTTCGTTTTTTGAAAATTACAATTATGAAAGACAAATGACTAGTTAAAAACAAGTAACACACTCATCTGACAAATAAAAAAATAAAAATAAATGAAACAAAGTACTGATTTAGAATGTGATGAAAAAACAAATAATCACAACAAGAAAAAAAAATTATGTATTATCTAAATTTGCAGTCATACTAGTTATTTCGTTAATAAATGATTCAGCAAATCGAGCTGCTGCTTCTTCAGTTGCCTTAAAATAAAAAACAAGTATTTCAATAAATAAAGAAAAATGAAACACATACAAGTTCATCTTGATCATGACGAACTAAATTTGTTAAAAATTGAATTGGATTTGAAATTGTTTTACGATTTGAAGATGAAATATAATCAAGAGAATCAACATCGGGATCACGAATAAAACGTCCTAATGGATCAACATAACCCATAGAAAATTTTCTAGACAACAAAACAAAAAAAATATATTCTTGTAAAAATTTTTATTAAAATCTTACCCTTTTGATTTAATTGCAAGTTCTTGACTAAGACTTGTATTAGATGATGACACACTAGGATTTCTTTGTCGATTTAATTGTGTAGTTGCAGCTACTGGTTGAGGTGATGATTGTATTACATTATCCGAATTAATTGATGTTGTATCTATTTCATAATTATATTTAATTTTTAACTAAAGAAATTCTTACCAGGTTCAATTGTTTTTACTGGTCGTGATGTAAGTACTGCATCTTCATGACGTAATTTTAACATAAGATCACTAATATGTCGATAAAAAATAACACTTTGTAAAAATCGAGGAAAATATTCCTAATAAATAAAAATCTTTCTAAAATAATAACAAATTTTTCTAGTCAAATTTTTAGTTTTTACACGTTGTAATATAACATAAACAATCCATGCAGTTTGATCAAATGTATCACTTGATGGACCAGCATCCATATCTGGTTGACAAATACTACATTCAATTCGTGCACGAATAGCATCATCAAAACCTAATCGTAATGGTGCTTGTAATGATATATATCTATATAAATTATAATATTTATTTATTTGAATAAAAATTTATAATTACTGATCATAAATAGCTAAAGCATTTTCAACTAATGTTTGATTATCCACCATTCGATTAATTAAACTTTGATAAAAATGTTCAACATCAAGCCAAAAACGAACTAAATCTAGAATTTTTTCTTGTTCTGCAAACTAAATTAATAACATAAATTAAACTACAAAGAAAAAAATTTTTTTTTTTCTTACCTCCATAAAATATGATAATGATGAAATATTATAAATAATATCATGTAATTGTAATTGATGGCTAGTTAACATTTTAAGTTGATAATTTGTATGAAATGCACTTAATAAATAAGCAGGATATGCACTAAAACAAAAACAGAAAAAAAAAGCAAAGTTCGAAGTTATTCTCATTTGAATTTAATTAAAGACAAACTTTTCTTCAATTAATTTCCATACATATTCTCTTGCCATTTGAAAACAATCTGGATCTGATTTTGTACTATTACTTGATGGACAAATTAAGGCTATACAAAAAAACGATAAAATAAAATAAAATAATATAAAATAATTCATATAAATACAAAGAGTTATTCGTCGAATTTCATCATCAATTGGAATTAAATATTTAGCATCAATTGATAAATATCGATGAAATAAAGTTAATGCTGCTAATTGTTGATCATTATATTTATTTGATAAATTTTCTCGAGCTACTTTTTCATATGCATGAACATCAAGAATAAATTTTAAATATGATGATAATGAACATGATTCCATATAAAGAATAAAATAATTAAGTTCATCATTTGGAGTATAAATAAGATTATAAAGTGAACGATGAAGACGAGAATGACGAAGTGATGCAAGTTCAGATGATATTGTACAATGACCTTAGAATTATTGAATTGAAAAAAAAATAGTAATAATAATCTTTTGTTTTACCCGATTGAATAGCTAAATCTCGATAGTATGGCCATTGTTGTACACCGAAATGAATTTCAGAACGATTTCTACTTTGACTACGATTACGTGTTTTCTCTAGATATAATTAATTATTTAAAAAAAAAAAAAGAGAACGAAAAAATTAAAAACTAAAACCTTTATTGCTATTATTGAATACACGGAAAAGTGACATGATTTTTATTTGTATATCTAAATATTGCAAACAACAAAAATGATGAGTTATTAGAGCTATTTTCTTTCTTTCCTTCTTTTTTTTTCTTTCTTTCGTTCGTTCATTTATGTCATGCTGTAGGTGATGATTCAGATCATATTTAAATTTGCCTATCATTGTTGTTGTCATTAATTCTACAGAGGGTGTTAGATGTTGGATTATAAAAATAAGAATTAAAAAGTACAATTAATCCGAATATGTATATACAATTATTTAAAAATGTTATTTGAATTTCACAAAAATAATGAGTGATCGATGGACAATTATACTACTAGTATTTTTGAATTTTCTCCTCTATTATCCCTTTGTTTAAAACGTTTTCATTCCATAAACTGTAGTCTAATAGACATAAATCAAGTGAATTTGGGGATCAACGGTTCTTCGGAATGAATTCAGGAAAAGGATCAGTATACCACTTGTGGCTCAGGTAATGCATATGAGATTTTCCATTGTCTTGCTGATATATCTAGTTATTTCGAAACATTTTGTTGTCAGATTTTAGAGCTACTGGAAGAACATCATTGATATATCTGTCTGATCTCCGATTGCGAGTTTTTAAAAATATAGGAAACCTTAGAGGATCAAGTTTGTCTAAAATATAGGATCTACTATACATTGTTTCTGCTCAATTGTCTGCTTTTGTTGACTTCTCTGCTCGAAATTTTTTCTAATGAAGCTAGCATGAAGAGTTCGATCGTAATCAGAATTCTTATCTAATTTCTTTCTACTGAAATAATAGTTAATTTGAATATCATTATATAGTTTAGTTATAAAACTTTTTTCACGAATCAATGAATAACAAAAAAAGTAGATCATAAACTTTGAAAGAACAAACAAATGAAAAAAACACAAATACTATTTTCCATAATTAAATTTGACTTATAAAGATAATACTGAATTATAGGTACTTCGAAAAGTATCCGGACATCCCCTCCCCATGTCTTTTCGTATCGTTTGGTTTGCGAAGCAGAAACAAGAAATAAAATTTTTATTTTTTCATCAGTACATATTTCTTACTTTGAACTAGATTCTCGATGAAAATCAGCAATTTTGTCTATCATCTCGAAATACGGCAACGTTTCTCTGAAAATATCTGATTTTCCAATAAGTTAGATGGTCGCTTTTCTGGCATCAGAATTATATTATTTACATACCACTTCAACGAACAA